TGGAGAAAGTCATTTGGTTGGTTCTGTTGCTCCACAGTGATTTTACAGTGATGCCACAGCATGTTTTGGGCAAAACCCTGTTAATGTGACCTCAGAATCATTATAGACACGACTGTTCATGTTTGCCTTTTCTGTGCAACACGAGAAACCTCCTCCCTTGAGCTGCATTTTATTTGCACATTAAAATCCAAAAAGAAACGTCTCCTCATCAGCTTAAAAGGCATCACTAATTAGCTTTACTAACCTCAGCTCCTCCGGTCACCTCCGTCCTTTCTTTTCCAAAACCACTTTTTCAGACTGAAAACTTGAGAAAACCTGATGTTCTCAACACTGGACAAGTAGGCAGTAATAAAATCCAGCTTCCAGTCACTTTCTATAAATTGATCTAATGTTAAGTTACATAGCAGAAGCTGTAGAAGCTGCTCAGTCTGAAGGGGAGGAGAGATGTTGGCGAACGCAAACAGGTGGGAAAACAACAGACAATTGCTGTACTTCCTTGAGTACACTAACATGCAGTACACTGCGTACTTACTTGCTTAGTGTGTTCATTTTGACAGGTTAGTGTTTTCTCAGATCAAACTCTGCTGTTGTGCACTAACCGGAAACGACTGTCGCAAGATTGCACAATCCCCCCCAGCACAGAGGCCGCCTGCAGAGCTCCAAAATAACAGCAAGAATAATAATTTAACAAATAAAGTAACGACAGTCACCTTTTCATACTATTTCTGCTGTTTATTTTAAGTTTCACAAACCAAGAATTTTCTGTACATCATGAGCAAAGTAATTTGATTTAAACTACTCAAATGCAATGACTGAATAACAGCAGTACGAACATTTAAACTATCTAAACTGCTGTGTCTCCGGCCTCGCTAGCTTCCCCCGCCGCCACCTGCGGAGCTGGTCTGAAAACTTTCAAGCACATTTTTAATCCACCATCGCTTTTTCGTAAAACTGCCAATATTCCATTTGATTTCTCGCCTCAAAACTTCTCAGAAGTGGATTTAGTGATGAAATAGTGTACGAAACTCGTAAAAGCCGTGCTGTTGTTGGCCCCTCTCTCTCTGCAGCTTCCCAATTCTCCCGTGTTGTTGGCCCCGCCCCTTCCGCTACGTCGCTAAAATGGCGGTCGACTTTAAAACTGATAAATTGTAAAGCTTTTGTCACCAACACCAAACCTCGTCGCCGCCCGAATCAAGCAAACTGTGAGTCATTTGTATTTTTACTATTAGTGAGGAAAAATAATCCTGCCTGCTGTGATCCAGGTCCTCCAGGCACAGGAAAGACCACCAGCATCTTGTGTTTGGCCCGAGCTCTGCTGGGAGCCTCCATGAAAGACGCCGTGCTGGAGCTCAACGCTTCAAACGACAGGTGAGATCTCGCCTCAGATGTCCACTCGCTGGCCGGTTAAACTGCTCCGCTAAAGTTCACAACCCGACACGCTTTATAGTTGATGTTACGTGAGTCGATGGCGAGTGTTGCTGTTGTGTCTGCAGGGGAATCGACGTGGTGAGGAACAAGATCAAGATGTTTGCTCAGCAGAAAGTCACACTGCCCAAAGGACGGCACAAGATCATCATCCTGGATGAAGCCGACAGGTGAGGCCACAGGTGTTTTATTACCAGGGGAGCTGACTTTGCCTTTAACATTGCAGATTGTGACCAGTCCCCCCTGAAAGAGGTCCAAGATAAATCTGCAGGGTCACCAGATACTTTAATGGACAAGAAAAAATCCTGTCGCGCAAAATTAAGTTTACCTTTATCGAATTTTTGCTTTTTTTTCTAGTGAAATTCTTGATACTTTCAGTTTTTTTTTAGACCTTTAAAAAAAAACTTTAAATTTATCTGAGAAAGATTGAACTGCTCACGTTTGAAGTCATAAATTTTGAGTTCAAATTATAGTTTATTGCAGTGATTTCTTTACCTTGGGGGTGGGAGAAAAACATCGCAATGCCGACGTGGAAGATTCTGACTCGATTAACAAATGTCAAAAAATCTATTATTTAGCTCTGTCCTGTACATCCTGATAATTATCTCAGTGTTCAGAGGAGTCTGACAACGAGGGACCGTGGAGCTGAGCTTAATGAAGTAAATTAGGGATGATTTTTTCGGCAGATTAATTTCATCTCTAGACAACAGTTCTCGTTTTTCTACAGTAGTTTCTGTTGGTACCTGAAATCTATGACTAGAACAGCTGCAGCAAACACTTATGTCAAATCAAGTCAAATTTATTTAAAGTGTAAAACCACCAGCTGCGTGGTCCCAGTACACTTTGCATAAAACGGCTCCACGTCAACTGGTCGAGAAGGAAACCAGTAAAGAGTCGTGGATGGAAAAAGTTATTTGACGTTCAACATTCGTCTGTTTCTGCGGCCCAGTTTTGTTGGTGGCAGACGTTTCACAGTTTTGATCATCTCAAAATCAGCAAAGGTGACGATGCAGTTTGCAGCGCTGAGACCTGAATGTCTGTCCAACGCGCCTGTTCCTGTAGGAGGAGCTAGTCTGAACCATTTGAATGTGCAGTTTGTTTCCACGCTCAGGACAGATCTGGTCTGGTAGCTGTTGGAAACACCTGTAATGTCTCCGTCCTCCTCCCAGCATGACAGACGGAGCCCAGCAGGCTCTGAGGAGGATCATGGAGATCTACTCGAAGACGACGCGCTTCGCTCTCGCCTGCAACGCCTCCGATAAGATCATAGAGCCGATCCAGTCTCGCTGCGCGGTGCTGCGGTACTCCAAACTGACCGACGGACAGATCCTGGCCCGGCTGCAGGAGGTGGTGGAGCAGGAGCGTCTGTCTGTGTCAGACGACGGGCTGGAAGCAGTCATCTTCACCGCCCAGGGAGACATGAGACAGGTGAGGGGCGGAGCTAAGAGTCCAGCGCTCGCCTTAAAGGCACCACGGTTGTTTTGCTGACTTCCTGTTTTTTTGTTTGTTTCCAGGCGTTAAACAACCTGCAGTCCACCAACTCCGGCTTCGGCTACATCAACAGCGAGAATGTCTTCAAAGTGTGCGACGAGCCTCACCCTCTGCTGGTGAAAGGCATGCTGGGACACTGCGTGGACGGGAACATCGACGAGGCCTACAAGGTGGTGGAGCAGCTGTGGGCGCTGGGCTACTCTCCGGAGGACATCATCGGAAACATTTTCAGGGTCTGCAAAACTTACCAGATGGCCGAGTACCTAAAACTGGAGTTCATCAAGGTGAGGCGGAGCGCCACCCCTGGCCACGCTGGATACGCTGCTGTTTGTGAGGAAGTATTTCCAGAACTTCCCCTGAAGCTGTAGATTTTACGGTTCTGTTAGTGTACAGCTAAAACAAAACAAAAAAATAAGCCCCTCTTATTCAGTAAACCTCAGGTGTATTTTCCAACTGTGGTCAGTCAGGCTAGCAGTTTCCCCCTGCTTCCAGTCTTTATGCTAAGCTAGGCTAACAACGTCATAACTTCAGCTCCATACCTGATGAACAGACGTGTTTCGCATCTTCTTGTTTCACCCTCTGAAAGACAGAACAAGTGCTGAACTACTGCTTTAACCTGTTTCAGGTAACCTTTAGAGGTAAATGAGTCCTGTTTCATAAATGGACGTAGCCTCCGTGACGTCACCTGTTGTTTTCTGGACTACAGGTCTGAAGCCTCGAGTTTGGCGCCATCTTGATTTTTTGCAACTGGACGTGACGATATTTCGTCTGTGACAGTAGCTGGGATGCTAAAACAGGCTGAAAACTAAGCGAGAACCTCCGGCTCTCGTGCCTGAAGCCAGCGTTGAAGAGCCTTAAACCTGCGTCCTCTCCAGCAGCCAGCAGGGGGCGACTCCACCAGCTGCAGAAAGAAGTGCGATTGTATAGAAGTCTGAGAAAATGTTGCTACTTCTCAGCTGATTTATTCCCTCAGTAAACACTTTCCTGAAGTTTTCTTCAACACAGCATGATGTTCATTTAGTAAATTATGGTCCCATCTTAGGGCTGACGTGATGTCATCGATTATGAAAATGTTGATTCGTCAACGCGTCGCTGGTTCATATCTGAGAGTGAGACTAAACTTCTTACCAGACTTTGTGCTAATCTTCTGCTTCTGTCCTCCAGGAGATCGGTTACACTCACATGAGGGTGGCTGAAGGCGTCAACTCCCTGCTGCAGATGGCCGGTCTGCTGGGTCGACTCTGCAGCAAGACGGCGCCCCCTGCTGCCAGCTGAACCCAACACTTCGTTCTCCCTCCACCTTAAAACACGCCGCGCTGAACTGTTCAAAGAACCCAGCATGCGCTCAATGCTGAAGGTGCTGCGAGTGCGTTTTTATCTGTTGCACTTGTTTCAACCCGACACCACAGCAGACGTTTTGTGTCCAATAAATCACCTTTTCATATGATTGTTGACGTGGTTTGTTTTTGATTTATCCAGAAGTGATGCTTTGAGTTAACAATATGTTTTATTTTTTAACCAATTTACTTTGTGTATTTGTCAGTTTAACCAGGAAATTTGTTCTTGTGCGTTTAACCCATCCTAATTAGCCGCAGAGGGCAGCCATTGTGCAGCACCCGGGGGAGAAGTTAAGGGTTTGACACAATGCTCCCAAGCCATTGAATGAGCTAATGCCGTCCCAAATAAACTTTATTATAAAGCAAAGTGACAGTTACCTGTAGAATGAAAGAACCGGTCTTCAGGGTTTCAGGGATGTTCATGATGCAGCCAACAGAATTAATTGTCTCAAGTGTATGGAGGGACGGCAGAGGCCTAAAACTGACCCACACCTGCCGTGACGGTGAAATTTGATCCCTACGTGAGACTCAAAGCTATATTTTTGCTTAATTTCACCCATTACTGACTGTTGGCTTCCCTCACACTGGTCTTCTTTCCAGTGGGCATTGATTACATTCTTGCATTACACCTACAGATAGTGGTACAGCAGTAAAATGCAGTTTAAAGCTATATAATCCAGTTGTGTGTAACGTACAGTATTGATGATACGTCTTCCACCAATTGCAGAATATTCAGGTCAAACCGGCTTTTTGTTTTTTTGGATAACGAGCTTTATTTAATTACAAACCTTGTTTACATTAAAAGTCAAGGCACAACAAACCTCCGTAACAGAACATCTAACAATGCTTCAGTACAAACCTCAAAAGTAATAGTATAATAATAAATATTAAGAACATTAACTACAGTTAGTGTATATATAGAATATAAGAACTAAATATTTGACTTTGTGTCTCGCCAAGTTGTTTTTGTACAGACATGTTTACAGGAAACTGAAATTCTAATACGAGTCCACATGAATGCTGCTAACTCTGGGAGCTGTTCTTCAGTCCTCCAGCAGGCGGCAGCATCTCTTAAAAACAATAGTCACCGTCACGGAGAAGTCGAGCATCACCGCCTCCCAACATCAGCAGGACGAGCAACGTGGTCGCCGGTCTGTCTGCGTCTCGTCTCGCACACAGTGACATCTAAAGTGCCATTTATCGAATCAACGTCACTGAAGCCAGACAAGTGCTTCCGGTCAGAGCCTCACATCAGTCTGTGTAATGATCAATAAGCAATATGTCTTCCCTGCTGGCAGCTGCAAGTCCACAGAAACAAAACCTGTAACTGCAACAACACAACGTGGAAGGAATTCTGTTTCTCTGATGTTTTAGGAGGAGGCGCTTCTGTTTTACAGCTGAACGACATCTCAGTTACTCACGAGACTGATAACCACGGTACAGTTTGTGCATGCCAGAACTCCACGACGAGCATGCTGCCGACGGGCCGAATGAACACCGAGCAGGGCGGCTTCAGGAAAACAGCTCGCCCGAAACTAAATCATGTACAGTTACAGTAAAAAGGAGCACGCTGGGTTAACTGGTCGCGTTCAGGGTCCCCAACAAAGAAAAAGTTCACCTTTCTTAAATCAATGACTCACTCAGCGGAGTCTGAAACACCAAACAAAAAACTACTGGCAGCAGTCGCCCTTTCCATTAAACTGTAGGTATGAACATCTACAATCTCAGTTTACTAGACTATAAGGAAAATGCTGAAGGGAGCTAAAATCTTTTGTGCCTCTCGTGTATTTATGTTACATTCAAGTCAGTTAGTTTTTCTGAAAAACACCAAGAAGGTTGTTGTGAAGGTTTTTCTAGAAGACTGCCTGCTGCACGATAAAAGATTTTCTACTTTCCATCTAGGCAGCCAGAAATGACATAACATGTTGCACAACAAGTGGAAATATAAAATAGAAATAAGATTTATTAAAAAAAAAAAAATCACATCAGTATAGACAAAGGTAAATAACAACTTTTTAATTTTGCTTTAAGTCATTCAAACTGACGAGGACGTGTCATTTCTAGCTTCCATCTTTGGAAGAGGAGAAAGCTGCAAGCTCAGAAACATAATGAACATTTTATTGTGCAGCAGAGAGGATTTTTATTTTCTTTTTTAGAAATCCAAATGGAGTCTTTAAGGAGTCTGGATATAATAAAACAGCTCGCCATGTGTTTATTTTTCCAAAGGAACACTTGGTTGTTAATGTTAATGCATGAAGAGCAAAAACTGCGGCGAACACCCGCTTATCTGCTTCATGCCTTCTGAAGAAAGCAGGAAAAGGTTGTTGTTGGTGAAGCAGCGACTAACTGCAGCTGGTGAAGAGATATTTGATAGCACAGCAGGACTGTAGATCTTCCTTTCACTGGTTTCACAAACTGTCAGATTGCTCTGCATGTTTGAGTTTTTATACATATTTATTTATTAATTTGTTATGTTCTGGTATAAAATCCCCCCGCTTACTCATTTCCCGGGCAGTCCAGGGTGGGAGAGGCATAACTGATATTAAAAACTGTAGGCCTACATTTATGGGTGAAATATTCCCTTAAAGTCACTTTTATTTTATCGGTAGGAAGACAGTTTCATAAACGAGCTTCACGGCAACCAACACCACCATCAACACAACAAAATAATAAGAGTAGTAATAATAATAATAATAATGGATCAGGACCTAAGCTAAAGGAAGAGGATCTGGTCTGAACAGCAGACAACACATCTGTATATAAATATGAACCAGCTGGACTCCATGTACAGTTACATCAACAGCGTCACCACATGAACCGCCTGGCGCCAGGCGAGTGATGGTGCGAACAGCATCCTAAAGAGCCAACATGGCTGCCGCTGAGGCCGAACCGTTTACGACAGCGGTGAAGTCTAAAGATATTGAAGTCGTCTCTACTTTACACGATGCTTAGATGTGACCTTTTTATTTCAACTACAACGAGGAACTGCTGCGACGGAGAGGAACGTTCACGCAGCATGTGAGGAGGAATGGAAGAGGAAAGAGAGGAAACAAGAGCGGGAAACCGTCCTACGCGGTCATTTCGATGGTGCGTGCCGCTGTGTGTTTGGGGCTGTTGCCGTCCTCTGGCAGTGTAGTGCGGCTCCGGACGCCGTCTGTGGAGCCGACGCTGGAGGCCGAGTGAGTCCTGGAGCGAACCAGCCGGGTCATACCAGCTGTGGGCACTGAAGAGGGGGCGACAGAGACATGAATGTGTTAGTAAGAGAAGACGTCAGTGTGGAGCTGGATCTCTCCGTCCAACCAGCATGTGCCGATTTGAATCGTCCGCGCTGTGGCTGAGCAGCTGGATTCAAATCTGATGACGGCGAGTAGGAGGCTCCGTTCACACTGAGGTCTTACCAGGACCCAAACGCTGCAAAATGTGAATCTGAGGCGTCAAATCTGAATTAATCAGCGTTTCCATCACAGGAAATCCATCTTACTCGTGATGTCAGGTTGTGTGAGCATCTGAAATGTTTCAACAATAAGAAAGCAACAAACTGAGGGCTGACGTGTCGGACTGGTTAAAAACTAAAACTTTAGGCCTTTCTTCACCTACAGGAATGTTTTAACGACCCGTAACTTAAAAAAGGTCCAGTGTGTAATATCTACGAGGACATATCGACAGAACTCAGTGTTCTCAGTGGTGTATAAAGACTGTACGTAATGAACCGTTAAAAGTCAGAAGAGAAGTGACATTTGGACAAATTGAGGACCACACGAGTTATTTAGAACAAGAGCCGACAGAGCGTGTTGGCCACCGTAGCTTCTCGTACGTTCTTGGGGTTGGGGCTGGGCGATATGGCCAAAAAATGTTGTCACGGTAAAAACTTTTCATATCATTCGATATCGATATTTATCACGATAAATGTCAAATCATAATTTCTTTCAAGTTTAAAGGCTGATCTTTGCTCTTGACTGAAAATTGAAGAAACCAGATGGTTAATCTTTCTTTATGGGGTAACACTTGGGACAAACACTTGATGCCAAACAGTGAATCACTTAACAAAATCGGAGGGAGAACATTCAAAACTATTGTGATAAAAATAAATTTAACAAATATGATTAGTAAAACTTTTTTCAGTCCCTTTTCCTCAACAAAATAAATAGTTTAATAAAAAAATTAAGTAACCAAATATTTATCGACGATATATTGAACATTTATTATATTGATATTGAAGAAAATTATATTGCGATAATTATCATTATTGTTTTATTGCCCAGCCCTACTTGGGGTGCGTTCCAATCGCCCTGTAGTTCCCTGCTAAGTGGCCTGCACAGGGTATTCGGACATTTTAAGTGAGATTCCAAACCGCAAGGAGCACAACAGGAAGTTGACAAGAAAGATTACCCATAAGCCTTGACAACAACGAAGCAGACAAAAGAGTTTGTATATCATCTGTAATTATTGTTGCAGCTAATCTTATTATTATTTATATGATTATTTCAGAAGTTAGGTTACCTAAAACAACAATGTCCATTATGAACCTTTTTTTAAATATCATAAACATAACATATCTTGAAAATTAATCGAGTGAGTGAGTGTGCGCTTTCATGACGTTGCAGCCTTGGAAAGGGAGAGGTGAGCGGTGACTGAGCATTGGATGCAATTCCCAACCCTCACCACTAGATGCCACTAAAACGTACACACTGAACCTTTAACATGTAACTTTTGTTTTGGGTTCTGCTTTTGTTTCCACTTTGAGCAAATATTCCTGCAACTAGATTTTATTTGACAGGTTCAGTCCTTTCAGGGGAGAGGGAATGGAACAGCTGATTTGCAGAGGAAATACAGTATTAACTAAGGACAGAACTGAAAGAGCGTGTGTTTCAAAATAAATGCAAATTCTGATTCAGAAGATTCGACATGTTTTGCTTCCCAGTTGGGAATTGATTAGTCCATTTATCAATTAGTTGTTGAGAAACTGAATCTGCAATGTTTTTGATAAATAGATTAATTCTTCTTGCAGTCTGCGTTGCCGCGACATGCAGTTGCGTTCTTGAGGTCCTTTTAGTTCACGCTGCAGTGAACTCCGGGTTAAGCTTGATTTATGCCATTTATCCAAAGCAACTTACAACGGCTATACATGTCAGAGGTCGCACGCCTCTGGAGCAAGCTCTGCTCAGGGACAACTGCGCCACGTGAATGGGAGTAAAATTGTAAACGTGCGGCTGTTGTAGCCTTTTCAAATGTTACCGACCGAATGGATCACATTCTGATAGTGAAACGAGTCATTTCGCGTGGGTTGTGGTGGTCAAATGTATTCATCCACCGTGTTACAGCCGCTGGTTTGGCCGCTAGTGAAAGTTACTTCAAAGCGCTGGCACTTCCTGTCGGCTCAGAGGCATAGCGAGGCTAACCAGCCGACCAATCCCCGTTCTTACGGTCTGCGTCGCCTCCACGTGTAGTTACATTTTTGAGGAGGTGCACATCAGGCTGAGGCTACGGCGTCTGTTTGACGCGTATAGTATAAATCGCACTTAACGAGTAGGTACATTTTTGAGGAGGTGCACATTCCCGTAGTGAAAAAGGCCCAATTGTCTGAACAACAACAGATGAGACATTTTCTGGCAGCTTCACGTTCATGTTACTGTTGGATTTGAGTTTGATCTACAGACGTGAGCAGCAGTGTGAACGGAGCAGAAGTGCGTTTGCATGCAGCACAGCCTGCTGGTCACTTTCACTGCAGAGGGGGGGGGGGGGATCAGTGCGATCAGCTGATCAACAGCATGCAGACACACACGAAGACGCACAGACAGACGAGGGGAGGGAGTAACAAGAGAAACAACAGCAAAGATGGAGAGAGGCGAGGGAGGTGTGGAGGGGCTTTAAGATTCTGGTTGAAATCCTGATACCTGATTGGCTGCTCAGGTGGTTTAATACAACATGAGGGACTGGAGGAAACGAAGACAGAGAGAGAGAAAGAAACAAGAGCAGAAAGGAATGAGGAAAGGTTGAAAAATAATTTAAGCTGTTACAAGACGTAGCTTGTGCAACACACACACACACACACACACACACACACACACACACGCATGTATTTGGTGTGTTGAGGAAATCCTATTGCTTCACACACTGCTGTGTACTTACAGTCAGTGAGGCAGGCTGTAGACACACACACACACACACACTTTGACTGAGCAGCTGCTTTTAAAAAAAAGTCTACAGTTTTGTCTTTACTTGATTTTCACAAATTATCCCAAAACCAAAATATTCATAAAACTAAATATAACTACGTGAGTTTTTTTCAGTTTAGGCTACACAGGTTTGTTAACTTGATGAGGAACATAAACGTTCTCGCGCACCAACAACATGCACGTTGTTAATGTTTTTTTGGCATAAACAGTTTCGTCACTTTTTCAGTTTTTGATCAGACAGTTGCTTATTTACTCCGTCTAGCAGTTACGGAACGACACGATCGGACATTTGAAGTCTTCATTCTGTCATTTCATTCAGTAAAAGCAAACTCCAGAACGAAAATGCCAACGTTAATGAAACTAATACACATTTTGAGTGGTTACAACATACAAACAGCATCATGTTAACACCGGGGCGGAAACACGGGAGAGACAAAGACTAACAGGAAGCTGCAAAGACATGTTGGATCAAAATAACACTCTCAGAATAAAAAAAAAAACAAGCATCTCTTCAATTAGACTTTACATGTTTGTGTCTAAAAGCTGTGCATTAACGTTAGAAGATACTCACTGTAGCCCATCCCCTGGACAAAATACTTGAAGGCCTCTGCTAGTTTTCCAGGCTGAGGGAAGAAAAACACACAGTATGAGGCATACTGAGACTTTAAAGGATAGGTTCACCGTCTTAAAACAATACTTACGTGACTGTGTGTATATTTTAAGTGTTATTGGTCACTGTATATGTTCTTTGTTACCATCGCTCTACCACAGGGGAATTACAAAGAGGAAATACTGCTGTAAACAGACTACAGGAAGAGATGTCTTCCTGTAGTGTCTGCTGATAACGGCATGTGCTCAGTCCTTGTACTCCTGGACCTTAGCGCTGCTTTTGACACCATTGATCACAACATCATGTTAGACAGACTGAGGCACTGGGTGGGGATCTCTGGTACTGCCCTAGAATGGTTTTCATCCTACCTGTCAAATAGGAAGTTTTGTGTGTCTGTAAACAACTATGTCTCCTCATTCTGTCCAGTTAAATATGGTGTGCCTCAGGGGTCGGTCTTAGGACCCATTTTGTTTTCCTTGTATCTGCTTCCCCTTGGACATATTATCCATAAACATGGCATTTCTTTTCATATTTATGCTGATGACACACAAATATACTTGCCCGTCAGATCCACAGACCCTGGAATGCTGAGTTCACTTAACAACTGCCTTTGTGAAGTTAAAAAATGGATGTCAAATAATTTCCTCCAGCTGAACTCAGACAAAACAGAAATCCTGGTCATCGGGTCCCAGCAGATGGCAAATCAAATACTGCCATCTGCTGGTTCCCTAGTAAATCACATTAAGCCTGTGGCAAAGAACCTTGGTGTTTGGTTTGATAGTAATTTAAATTTCGAGCAGCACACCACAAAGCTTGTTCAATCATGTTTTTATCCACTTAGAAATATAGCTAAAATTCGATCTATGTTAACTTTTAAGGACACCGAGACCATTTTACACGCCTTCATCTCATCACGCCTGGATTATTGCAACAGCCTTTTCACCTGTTTAACCCAAAAATCTATTGATCGACTCCAGACTGTCCAGAACTCAGCTGCCAGGCTTTTAACCAGAACAAAGAAATATGACCACATTACTCCTATTTTGGCTTCATTACACTGGCTCCCAGTATGTTTTAGAATTGACTTTAAAATTCTATTGATCACTTTTAAAGCTCTTCATGGCCTCTCGCCTTGTTATATTTCTGACCTTTTAGTCCCATACGCACCAGCACGTACCTTGAGATCCTCGGGCAGAGGTCTGTTGTCTGTTCCAGAGTCTCGACTGAAAACTAAAGGGGACAGAGCGTTTGCTGTCAGGGCCCCGAGGCTCTGGAACAGCCTGCCCGAGGAAATCAGGTCGGCTGAGTCAGTGAACTCTTTTAAGTCCCTTCTTAAAACATACTTTTATAGGAGAGCCTTTCCCGATCTTATTTGACTTTATTTTATCCCTTTTATTTTATTTTACTAATAAATTTTTCATGCTCTTATCTTGTTTTTTGTATTATTCTTTACACTTGTTAAAGCACTTTGTAACTTGTTTTTGAAAAGTGCTCTACAAATAAGGATTATTATTATTATTATTATTATTATTCTTACTCGCTTGATTCGTCTAACTCAAACTGCTGAAGCCTCATTATCGTCTTCAGCTGAGCTTTGGAAAACATTTTTATTCAGAGTGGGGACTTTGCTCAGACATGACGAACAATTAAAGAAACCAGTTAATTCTTTCAGAGTAAATTTAGGCATTAATACCGTTTTAAACGTATCCATTAAGCCCCCATCATGAGACAGTAAGCGCAGACTCACCTGCACCACCTGAGGAAGACCTCCACAGTCCGCCATCTAGTGGAGAGACAGAGAATCACATCAACTGTGAAGACACAAGCCCGTCCACAAGGAATAACAACAACAAGTTTAAGGTTGATCCACTGCCAACATTCAAAACACAACATACGACGCATGCTAAACAGTGTTCCCAAACTCATTGACAGATGTGTCCACACAAGGACTGTAATAAAGCCGGGCAGGAGTTTTACTTTAATCTGCACCATCCCTTTTCCTTCTGTCGTTTTGTTCTCTCCATCTTGAACTTTGTGTGTGAAATACTTGTCCAGACTACAGGTGAAGTTGGACTGTACTAGGGCTGCACGATTTGGACAAAAAGTCATATTGCGATTCGATTATAATGGAACAAATGGTGCTATGAGTCTGCTTGCTTAATTATTATTATAATTAAACAATACTTATAAACAATAACTAGTAAAACAGATGTAAAACAGAACAAGGGGAGCGTGTTGCTCTACAGAGGAGGCGGCTAGAAGCTGCACATATTGACGCACAGGCACCGGCTCTAATGCAGAGTCTATCCACAACCTGGAGGAGCAACTGTACACGAGTTTATTAAATAAAGAGTATAATGTTTAGTCAATACTGCTAGTATAACAATAATATATTAAATACTACATTCATTATAATAGTATAGTTTTTACCACTAGTTGAAAATTATAAACAGTTACAGCAGTTTCCTGCCTTTTTTTATACATTAAATTCTTGTGCAAGCAAAAGGCTCTACGTCGGTCTCTAATTCGTTAACGCTAAGAACTAACTTGTCCATCATATTGTTCAACATTTAATGATTTGCTGTAGCGTGTCAAACTTATTTTAATGTTGACGAAAAGTGACTGACAAGCACGTCGGCTCTGTGAGAAGTTGAACACGTTGAATGTTAAATGGCAGCGAGCCAAACCCCAAACCTTCCTGATCTTCTCCCAGTTTTCTTCCGTCTTACAGCTTCAGCTGCCGCCGACGTCTCTCTGTCGCAGAGCCCCGGCATTTCTCTCGGTGCTCCGGCTACGAGTCTGTTTTAAACGATTAGCGGCGGGGCGGTGGAGGGGGGGTTACGGTAGGTTGTTGTCTTAAAAGTTACTCGCACACTGCTCAGTTATCGTTTTGTCATTGCACGTAGGCGTATCTGTTTTTTAGGGGTACAAGCGAGAGCCCGGTGTGGGCGGAGATAATGAGCAGACTGCAGCGCACACAGAGAGGAGCTGAAACACTTTTTCTGATTAAATGCACATGACCACATTGCGATTAGATTAATTGCGCAGCCCTAGGCCGTACTACTAAATGAATATCTGTAATGAAATGTAGCTTCCGAGAACTCAACCCACATTATCACAATTGTTGAACTGTTCTAAAGCCGATGAAGCCTGACGGAGGAGCTAAGTTAAGAGATGGACAGGTGTTATTCAGGTAAGGACAGACAGGTACCTTGAACAGGGTGGTCTTGGTCGGGTTCAGTCTGGAGTTACATTCCACCTGCAGGGCAGAGCAGTATCGCACACACACAGAATTTACAACTGTGACGTCACATATTGGCTATTGTCATGGTAACAGGGCAGACACTTACCACGACATCAACGGCAGGCGACGTGTCTCCAACCACCAGCAGAGAGGGACACCTGAGGGAGACACACAAACATCAGACGAGCTGTAACAGGATGCGACGGTGTAAATTTATTTTTATTAAAAAAGACAGAAAAAGACAATGATACCTGAGGGTGGTGACGGTGTTTTCATTCAGACCAGGGACGGGCCGCTCTATCTCCAACTCAGTACGACTAACACACACAATAAATATCACAGTGAAGACGATTAGAAACCTAATGTCACACAACAGCTTTATTAACAGCAGGAACCGTAACTATACTAAAAGTACTCAATGAAGTATATTGTGTACTGTTGGTATTATGGTCCACAGTTCTACTTACACTTAATATTCTGATCTTTGACCACTCCTAACTTCCTCCTCTATGACAGTTAACTGAATATCTGAGGACGTCATCTCGGGCATTTTCTGATATTTTATAGACTCAACAACTAATCGATTAAATCAATAATGAAAATAATGGTTAGTTGCAGTCCCAGCCTGCGGTGTCCCACCTGTCGTAGCTGTTGTAGAACATGGCCAAGTTTTCCTGCGGTATATCCTGAGAGATGTGGAGTCTGTACGTCTGGATGAGCTCCTGATTCTCAGTCAACTCGTCCTGCGCACACACAAACACGCAGTTGAGTTGAGATTCACATATTGTTCTTACAAAGCTGTGGTTCTCGTAAAAACAAACTCACAGAGCTGAAGTGGTGTGCCATGATGTTGTCGACCAGGTTGCTCGTCCAGCCGCTCAGCTGCAGGAAACACAAACATTTCAGTACGTACTCGTCAACTGACAATTCCAACTGCTTATACATAACGGTGTCAGAGCGGCGGTTCCTGGGACTTGGGATCTCTAACAATCAAGGGATGATTAAACATTGAGGCAGACGGTCGTCAGCAGCCGGTTGACCTCGTGTGTTCTGTGTTTTTGCACAGAAAAACAAAAAGAAGAGAATCAAACTGTGGACGAACACGAGGCTGAGACGAGGGAATCAGCAGGTTTATACATTTTAAAGTGCGAGCAGCTCGCTCTAACTGGCTGTTGGAGGTTTCTGATCGGAGGCTCCTCGATCCAGTGGGCGACCTTAAGATTACTGGTACCAGCTCAACTCGCCTCGAGTTACTTTTGGTACCCAGTCCTCCGTTTTCTACGCAGTTTTGTTGCGCTCTACCTGTTTTACATAAGCGCCGACTGACATTAACGGTAAACTACGGTAAAATTCCTCAAGGTTATTATTACCGTACACATTTTAATTACCATGATAACCAGGTACGGTTAACGGCGCTGTTACAATCTCACGGATTGAAGAAAATGACCTTATAGTGAACGCAGGGTGAGTTAACTTTTAGCTTTGGTTTGTCTCTCTGACTTGCTAACAGCGTGTAAACTGAATCTGTATTAATATATATATATAACATATACATAATCTGTATTTATTTATTGGCTCATTGCAGTTACGATCACTGTCTTCTAAAGACTTATTTGTTTTCATGTAATTGTCCACGGGGTCATAGTATTACCTATATAATAAAATCTAACAAAATGGCAATTTTATTTGTAGTTTTCAATATAAAACTTGTTGAAATGGTTTCAGTGTGTGTATCAGTACATTTTAATCTTTTTCGGTACATTTTTACAGTACCGTGATAATCGTGATGAGCTAACTGTTTTCTATGTGAAGGTCAGATTTCCTGCGAAAAGCAACTGTCTTACATAAGCTATGACGTTTATGTACGCAACATTACAGCAAATCATGTGAACCACGGTGTAATTTTGTGTTTTAGCTGGTTTAAACTAGATAATGTGAGCTTGCCTGCAATGATATGTGTGATAACTTTAATCGACCACTTGATCAATACAACAAAATTCAATAAGGCCAGGAGGAAATAAAGATGAAGAGAATAAACTGAGTGATGTAAGTAGTGTAGGCGGTGTAGCACAGGCACAGCCTGGAGGAGGAACTAGTCTAAATGACTGTATTAGTATAATATTATAACATTAAATTAAAAGTATATTGTTACTTTAATAGTAAACTGTAAGTTTGATATCAATATATTCATTATGTTACTATATTCAATATCATTTCATATAATAGTGTATAACTTACCACTAGTGTAATATTCATTCAAATTACAGCTGTTTCAGTTTGGCGGGGTGGGAGTTCACGGTCTGTTGTACTCGTAAATCATTTTCCGGTTTGCACGGATCTATTTTTTGGAGCGTTTAAGAGTGAAATAGGCGCTCGGTAGAAAGGAATCACAGTCGCTACTCACTGCCTGTCGAGTAGTTTTGCCTATGCATTATAAATAAATCCGTTCACCTACACTTTTAGCAAACAAACTTTTGGACAAACAGGATTTTCACATTGAAAAAAAAAATATCTTCAAAATCTAATACCTTGTTAAATGGCGATTAAAGGCCTTAATTTTCGCAAAATTGATTTATCACCTTTTAAGACTTTTTAAGAACCCGCGGACACCCTGACGTTACACAACGCAAAATTCACTTAACTTTTATTATAGCGACTAAATGCTCTTCTTCTACAATCGGCCTCATATAATTATTAAGTGTGTTCATTATGTTGTTGTTTGTTTGTTTCCAGCCAACAGTTTAGCTACTGATTCATTTTAAAATGTGGGAAATTTGACTGTTTTGATCTTTAAAGAAATTAAGAAATTGTAAAATTAATGAACACCATAACTTCCACACTCCTGTCATCACTCAGTTTAAAGTGCTCTCACATAGCATTTTGTTTCATTTGATGTGAACTGGAGCGTTACGTTCACTGCTGTCAGCGGAGGTCAGGCGCGCGAAAAAAAACCCCCTCAATAATCCATTCATCGTCAACCGCTTATCCTGCGTACAGGGTCGCGGGGGGCCGGAGCCAATCCCAGCTGACATCGGGCGAAACAGGTCAGGTCGCCAGTCCATCACAGGGCCACACATAGACAAACAACCATTCACGCTCACACCTGAGCACAATTTAGGGTAACCAATTAACCTAGCCGGCATGTCTTTGAATGGTGGGAGGAAGCCGGAGCACCCGGAGAGAACCCACGCAGACACGGGGAGAACATGCAAACTCCACACAGAAAGGCACAAATTTTTTGGCAATTCTTTCTGAAAAATCAACAGTCTGCAGTGTTTTCACGTGACCTTTTAGTATCGCCTCAGCTCGCTTGGAACCTCTACAGAGGTGACACCAAAAAAAACCTACTAGGTACCAAATTTTCCAAATGGAAATCCAACAAAGACGAGTAGAGTCAAGGCGCGTTGAGAGGGTACCATCCGGTGGAAAGGGACATACGCTGTAAACACCTCACACTTCAGGATCATTTGGGCTGCGATTGTCAGGTGGGAGAATCTGACCCAAAACCAACCCAATTATCCTCTAATGTGTGGCCAGCATTATTGTTCAAATGACAGTTTTCATCTATTAAACTGAAGATTAAAAACTGTTTACATGTCAACTGATATTTCAATGAAAACTAAACCAACTTTGTAACATCTGTGCAAACTCCACTCTCTGATCTGTTTAAAGGCCCTGAAAGAACCTACGAAGTGGACCATGAGTTACGATTATTGTGTCTAATGACTCTTCTCAATGTCAAGAATTGGCTTTACAGCATTTTATAATCAATAAATAAATTATAAAAATCGTTTCTTCTTTTGTGTGTGTGTGTGTGTGTGTGTGTGTGTGTGTGTGTGTGTGTGTGTGTGTGTGTGTGTGTGTGTGTCACCTTAGAGGCAGCCCAGTCCATCCAGCCTTTAGCACAGGGGTCGACGTTGATCAGAACTAAACCCTCCACCAGACTGGGCTCATTCAGCTGAAACACAACAACAAAGGCGGAAGTTGGGGTTACAGTCTCTTTGTTTTTAAGTAAAAGTCACAATGAGCTGCTGAAAGACGGGGCTGGGGTTTCCCAGCTACACTTTAACTGATTTGTTTGTTGAGTGGTTAAACTCACAGCCAGTTTGGCGAGGATGTAGGCTCCAGCTCCAACGCCGATACCAATCACACTCTTCACCCTGATGATGACGACACACACACACACACACACACACACACACACACACAGGTCAGGGTGAACTGAAGGGTCTGTGTGGAAACTTCTACCCATCATGAAATCGCAAAGGAAGAAGACTTACTGAAGCTGTGTCAGGACAGACGGCAGCATCTCGGCCAGCTCATCCATGGTGGGGTACTGGTACCTACACACACACACACACACACACACACAGTGAGCATGTATAAAAGGACAGCACTGCCATTGACTTATTATTATTATTATTGTCTCCAGACACACACATAGAAAGTACTGGATAGCTCCTGTAAACATGGGTTTGAATATTTTAAAGACGAGAGACTGAAAACACACAGTTCATCATCTTCAGATGGATTCTAATCAATCTGAACCCGGGGAAAGCAATTTATTTCACCGGCATTTTTTTGTAAACAAAACAAAACAAAAAAAAGAAAAACAAATCTTATCACGGCCAATCATTTAATTTTGGCTGAATGAAAATGTCCATACGAACAACAAGGGAGGGGGCAGGATTTTTTTCGGTTGGTTCTTTCTTGGTTTCTCCAAAGTTTCCTCCCACCGGCTTTAATATTCAGTTATGTAAATATTTTGTGTACAAACCTGACAAACTCACACCCAACAGACATTTAAACTGGCTGTAGAAAACCTGATCCAAAGTGGCTGTCTGGTCAAAAAAAGGTCCGTCTCACGAGGTTACACTGATGGATGCACAGTACTGAAAAGATTTTGTTTTATTTAAAGACTTAATTTTACACACGAGTGTCCTCACTGGGGTTTTTATTTTCCTTGCACTTATGTTGTTGCAGGGTTCTTACACCATTTCAAATTAAATGCTTTTGAAGACTTTTTAAGACCCCAAAAGTGTTGAAACAATTTCTTTAATAGAAAAACAGAAGCGTGTCTTTAACTGTACAAAAGATACTAACATGACTCATTGACCTAACCTGTCGCTCTGTGTTTGATGGTCTCTGCTGTTAGCCTTCTGTGTTGTGTTCTTTCCCCCTTTCCATTTTATAGCAAATTTAACACAATAAAAAAAAAAATTAAGACAGAGAGTGATGCTCAAAAGTGCTCATTTAATGAACGAGGCAATGTTTGGCAACATAGGAATGTTTTGTGAATTGATCGTTTCAGTTTGTGAACGTGAACTAACGCAATAACTGAAAGGAATACGCATTATAAAGAAAGGTAGCAAGTAACCGATGCCGGTTTAATTTTCACTTTCCGGCCAAGCTATTACCTCGGCGCATCGCTAAGAGGTAGACATGGATAATACATGGAGGAAAACAAACCGTGATTCTTACTGCTGAATCATTCACGGCTGCAAGCATGTAGGCCTGGTGCTGACTGTGAAAGTATCAGGTATGTTTGTCTTATTATTATAATAATAATAATAATAAGCAGCCATTTTGCTACACCAACACGCTTCACCAACAGCTGCGGCTGTTTTTGCAACCTGACATTTCTTTTAGAATTTAGAAAGTTGCGTGGTGCTGCGGGCCGCGTCGTTCGTACTAGAGACACAACCCGTACTGGAGGGGGGTGCTGATATTTTTAGGGGTGCTGATATCTAAGCGCCTCTTTCTCCCACGCATGTTGTTTTCATCCTCCACAGTAACGTTTTCCTCACGCACCAGGCGTTTTTTTTTTTTTTTTTTTTTTTTAAATACCGCTGTTCAAGTGAAAATTTAGAGGGAGAAAATCTGGCCTGTAATATTTTGTCTCCTCATTATACTGACAAAAAGAAAGAGATTTCATTAACATTTTTATTTTATGAATTACATTGTAGTCTTGTCATTTTTCATCAACAATATTGAATGTTAATAGAGTCACAGTCCAAGGACAACGTCGCCGTCTCGTCTTCGTCTCATTTTCGTCAGGGAAAAAAAAGGTCGTTGACAAATATATTTCGTGAAAGTAACACTATGTGAACGTAACCTTATATCACTTGGTGCAATCTCGCATTGTCTAACAGTTAGTTAATCCAACAGATACACTAAATAGACGTTCTACAGCAGTCTTAAACACACCATCGGCAAATTTCGTACCTACAGCAAATTTAGAGTAAAATTAAGACAAGTTAACACCTTAATTTCCCTTTTTTATTTTAAGACCTTTAAAGAGTTTTTAAAGGAGCCGCGTGGGACCCTGTGTTGGTCAAAAGGGACTTAGCTTCATTGTTCTGCTGCAGATGCACAACAGGTGTTTAACCTGGGGAAAACACTGCTGTTACCCAGAGGAAAATGGTTGGGGACTTGAGTTCATGAGTTTATACCCAACAAAGCAGTTGACAGCGTTGTGTTCAGAGTGTGTGTGTTTTTGTTACCCGGTGGGGAATACAGGAGCGTTTTCCTGCTGTCCTGGAGCATCAACATGCAGAACTGAGAAGTGCTGCGTCACTTCCTGCATGTCCTCGTAGTTAAACAGGCTGTTAAAACAAGACTTATCTACACACACACACACACACACACACACACACACTTTGTTAAGTCCTTGATTTTGTTTTTTGTCCGTACTGTAACACGTGTGCTGTGTGATGACTGAATGTGTGTTCATATTTACTCACGGTTGAGTCCGACGTCGTGGTAGGTGAGGATTGTGGGTCGGTTGCCCCTAGCAACTCCCCTCATGGTAACATGCAGCACACCGTGGGCCGTCTCCACATCATGCTCCTGAACAACACAGACCCGACAACAAAATAAACATCATCCTGTTGGCGTCAACCACAAACATAACGACTCATTAAACCCATTTAATTCTGCAAAGTAGATCACACAGCGGCATCATCCCGATATCACAGAGAGTCAGCGGCTCAGGATTTAGTGTCAGCTCAGGTTGAAGCCGCTCACAGAAACACTGATCAATCACCTTCAGGCTCGTCTATTGACAACCAACAAGCCGATGAAATGTGCACGAGGGGAACGGCACATCCGCTGTGCACACGAACGCACCACATGATAGATTTGGGACACAGTTCCGCTTGAATGACTTCATGTAAAACAGCAGTGTGGTCACCTTCAGGCACCAATCAGAGGCTGCGTAGTAAAACGTACATATTTAGCTTGTTACAGATAGAAACAGGAAGAGACTGATGACTGGCTTCAAGTGGGCTGAGGTGATGATTAGTAATCTCCTTAATGAAAAGACCATGGAAACGCCTGACACACGCTATTAACAGATCTTAAGGCTCCCCACATGCCGGCGCTTACACACTTGTTACTGCACAGCATGTTAATTTTTAATTAGTTGCATGAGTTTTAAAATGCAGAACGTGAGTGATGAGCTAATATTCCCCAAACCAGGACTTAATATGATGTGGATCATTGTAGGAGGCTCCCAGACGAGCTTAGGAAAGCTGGAAACGCTGACGCATTCAAACACATTTTTATCCCTGTTTCTCTGTGAAATGTTACTGGTTGTCTGCTAAAATATTAAGAAAGCAGGGTAAGAAATGCATACCTCACTCTGTTCATGTTTGCTTTTTCCATCTCTTTTTTTAAAATGTCTTTAAACTGGCTTAGTCTGCCTTGTGGGGGGGTCAGGAATTTTAAACTAATACACGTCTTTTTCTCAAAATCAGTGAATGTTTGTCACGTTCCGCTAGCTGTATATTCTGTGTGCACTTTATTATTTTAACACCACCTTCATTTTACCACATGTTAATTAAGAACAGATTCTTCTATACGATTACGGCCTGGCAGGAACAGGTACTGGGATTAAATAAAATAACATAACAAACAGACAGAATGCAGGACAACAACCAGGCGCAAAGAAATCAAATGAAAGAATAATAATATGTAGACAACAAGGAACATGATAACAGACTGAGACATCTATAGATAATCTGCAGAGAGTAGAGAAAACAACAAAATAAAATCTTCTAAATCTGGTGTTTGTACACAGCCCTGGCTCTGTAAATGGTAGGGGTTCGATTATCAGGTCAACGATTCGATTCTATTTGATTCCTCGATGCATCACCTCAAGGGTGGGAATTTTTAGGCACCTCGTTACGATGATGAGACTGTAAAACGAACAGGGTAAAGATGTATTTTTCTCACTGTGCGACTACTTGGTACTTTTGAAGCAAAAGTATTTAACAACAATCCAAAGAAGTAGGTAGTGATGAAATGCAGATATTTAATGTTACTTCAAATAAATGTAGCTCACATTGCATAGCATTATTACAGCGTTATTACTGACCTCTGCTGCAGCTATTTTTATTTCCGATGCTGCTGTTATTAGTATAGAGTCATATGGGGGTTGAACTACGCACTTTACAACGCTGCAGCCAAATCACGTTCACTCCACCTTAATATATCTGTTCCTTTTTTGTCTGGTCTAGTGTAGTTACATGTTTGTGTCTTGTCCTGTAAGTTGATTATTGTAATCTTTTATTTCTTTACAGCATTTGGTTCATTGTGTTCTCGATATGTGGATGAATGACAACAAACTTGAACTAGCAGCCAAAGAACGTCCTGCTGAGCTTCCAGACCGCCGTCTGAAGAGGAGATGTTAGCTAACGTTAGCGCTAACTGCCTAAACTTATCCAGCAAAACGACAGGCAGACTTTGATTAACGGACACGCTGTGACCCAACGTCACACTGTACATTTACTACCAGACTGAGACGTAGTGCTCATCTTTTCTTCTGCTCCGCTCTCTTTCCTATGTCCTATGGAAAAATTAACCTCTAGTTAATTGATTATTGACATTTGTGAATCGATTCATAATCGTCCAAGTCTAAAAATCAATTATTTTCCACACGCCTGGTAAATGGGAAACAAGCTACGGCGTCCCAGGTACCTGATGACGTCTAGTTCACCAAGACATGCTGTTGTTGTGATGTTAGCTATAGCAGCAGGAGAGCTGCGAGTATCGCTGTCTGGAGCTGCTCTGCGTCCTCTCTGCACGTTAGCTTCACCGCAGCAACTGTTACCACAACTTAGCTAACATTACATGGCGTGTTGTTGCTCGCTCTGTATCATGGTAATTTCTCCAGAAGTACACACTCCACCTTTAAGTGAAGTTATCTATTTTTCTTTTTTAAAGAATTACTTTTGCCTTTCTAGTTATTAAATTGTGATGCTGATTTTCTCATTGTGTCCTTTATGTCTTTGCTAAAGAATTAAATGAATGTACTTTAATGAAAAGGGTTATAAATAACATCTGACCGATTGTTGCTACACAGCTGAAACAGAATACATACAGGTGAGTAAATAAAAACAGCTGACTGTCAGCTAACAGGCCACTTGCTTGTAAAGCATGACTCAGGAGAGCTAACGCACGCAAATCCAGACAGAGTCAGACACCCTGACAGGAGGAGGAGGACAAGACTGAGTTTCAGAGGAAGAGAAGGATTAATCAACAGAGGGGAGGACAGAGAATAGTTTCAGCAGAAACAGAAGTGACAGCTGAAGGTCAGCTGTGCTGTTCTCCCTTTAGCCTTCTGCTAAGTGAAGGTAGAAAGAGATAGCGGGGGGGGGGTGATAAGATCAAGAGGAATAATCTCTGTAGCAGGTTGTTGCCCGTCTACCTTCCTTCACTGGTTTAATCAAGCCTTCTCCTCCTCCTGTTCTTTATCTTCTCCTCCTCCGCTCCTTCCATCCCACAGGGAAATCAAATTTCATCACCAATTACAAAAAAAATAAAAAATAAAAAATAATACACGACTAGCTAATTACAGCTGAGTCACTTCAGACAGGCCTGCTGCTTTTTAATTAAATTTTTTTTCTCCCTCGCTGCTCAGACTGCTTGATACAGAGATATTTCAACAGCGTGGTGATTGACTGTACTGCAATTATCCTCCATGCGTGGAGTAAAAGTGGATTTTACATTTAAACAGCTCAATTTAACAAAATATAAAGCTGAAATGTTTTCAATTTAGAAAATAAAGAAAAGGCTACTCTTATAAAATGGACAAAAAAACACTAACCATCCAAAACAATATGTGTTTTTGTATTTCTTTTTAAGGCTGTGTGAACATGTAGTTGAAAATTTTCTTCATCATCAATAAATGTCAAATCATTATTTCTTTCAAGTTTAAAGGCTGATTTTTGCACCTGAGGGAAACCGAAGAAACCAGATGGTTAATTGTGGTTTAAAATTTTTCTTTATGGCCAGAACAAACACTGGATCACTTCACAAATCTCTTTTCACTCCCTTTTCCTCAACAAAAAGAATAACTTAATAGAAAAATTAAGTGCCAATTCATTCAAAATCAAACATTTATTGAACATTTGTTATATTGTTATTGAGGGAAATTATATCTTCATAAATTATTATTGTTGTTTTATTGGCCAGCTCTAGTAGAAGAGTGCTGATGTCTGACAGCTGCTCCTGAATGAACTGCTGTTTTTCACTCGACTGTCAGAAAGACACGGCTGATATGGCTTTAAGGAGCAGGCCGAGAGGCAGAACTGTGACTCTGCGTGCTGTCTAATTTAAATAACTCTCTGATCGGACGCATTGATGCAAACTGACCTGCTGTATTGACGTGAGCTCGATGAGTCCTGCTGATCGATATCTGTGCGTGCAGCTCGTGGAAGCCTGATGTCTGACTGCTTTGCTCACTGAGTTTTCCTCACACATCTCCTCCTAAATATGACTGACTGAGCTGTTTGTCTCTACTTTTCCTCACTTAAAAAAAAAATATATATATATATAGTTCTCAAAAGCCTTTGCAACATGCTGCTCGGATTATTTACCATGACGCAAGCAAACGTGACAATCGATCAGTCTCCATCACGTCAACTACATCAGATTCAAACGCGTCTCATGGTCAGTTTAACTACTTGCTAACAGTGTGTGGTTAATGCTATCAGACCTTTGATATTAACTGAAGTTGCTTCCTTTATTATGAACCAACTCCTCCACAGTGGAACCAGCAGCAACACTATTCTAGTTCTCAGACTTTTTTAAGTAGATATTTATTATATATTTAATACATCACACGGCTGTTGATATCATGATAAAAAGGTATCAAGAACCGTGGATTCATTAGTAACCGTGCGTTTGGATTCTGCTCCTCGGTTCCTAACTAAGCATATTTCAGCTCCTGACTGAACTGCAGTGAGCATTTTTCAGTCCATCAAAGTGTCTCTGATCTGCCAGGAGCTGCTACGCCGACCGAACGTCTCCTCATGTGTTACGTCAACAAAGCCTGAAGAAGAGAATCCTTCTGTTTCCGGTCCTGGACCGTGGCGGGCCGCAGCAAACGCTCCAAAGTTTGGCTTAACTTCACTAAAAAAACTGCACCAGCTGCAGTCAGGAGGTTTGGTGCGAGGGAGGAAGCAGCTCCTACATGACGAAGCGTTTCCTTCAACACGTGTCGCGCTCTCCCAGATCCAGCTAACGCTAACAGCAGCAACGTCTCAGGTACAAAACACAGGTGAGCTGACGTTCACCTTCTATACTGAAGGGAAACCGACGATGGCTCCAGATGATTCAACATAGATTTTTCTTAGAGACAAACTCACCTGACAGTCAAAGTCCTGGAGATTTCTACCATTCTGAAGAGACAGAGAGAAATAGTTTTGTCATTATTGATATTGAAAATTAAAAGTATCCAAGCATATGAATCTGATTGTAGGTCATTTATTGAACATTCGTGTGTTATTTATTGGATATATTGAGAAACAGCTGTTGTGCTCTGGAAAGTTATTTTTATACCAGCTCTTTAGGCTGCAGGCATCTGTTAGACGTGTCTCTTGCTTTAAATATTCTGACAGCACGTTGTTGTCCTGGACATCCAACTTTCTGAGCATGTGAGCCATGACCCCAAGCTAAGCCCCACCCCCTCACCTGTCCTGTCAGGAGTGGTTTGATCTCAGTCAGCTGGACGTCGTGAAGCTCCTCCATCATAGGGCCGCTTTACTGCCAATCAACCTGATAAAACACACAAACAAGGAGGCAGACAGATACAGCGTCAGTCAGGTACCAGCTGTTAAACTGTCACATGCGAGTACCTGTCTACCTGCCAGGCATTCTGCTAAAGAGATGATACACAGTTTGCACGTTTTCTTTTCCAATTTATGAGACTGATGACTGATCATTTGTAGCCAGTTCTGATGTGGTTTATGATAAATGAAACCCAGCAGAGCAGGGTCAGGGTCACCTTCTCACTTTACAAAGATAAGTGTATCAGAGTCTGACCTGAAGAGAGGCTGTGAGGTCTTAACTGTACGTGATACGAGCTCAACATACAATATAATTTAGCAAATTGCGTTAACTTGCCTCGAGGATACACATGAGACAATGTCCTGTTTTAAAAATCAAGTGTTAACACAACTTCTATACAGTGTGGAAATAAGATTTAATTGGTTTATAATAACAGAAAGTATAAAACGTGTACATTAAATGTAAAAAAAAAACAAAAAAAAACACTAACATTTTGGTTAATTACTATATTCTTTGATTTTGCATTGCTGGTAAACCATTAAATAGATGTACTGACTTTTTTGCTGGATTATCACCATTTATATCTACACAATGTGTTTATCATCAATATGTTTGCTAAAGCACAATCAAGCCTCGTAATGTTGCTCTCATAGTGCACCACATTAATGCATTGCAACTTTAAAATGTACATTTTATTCCGTACGGGCATGTCCCTGAACGCCCCCGAGAAGGTCCAAGGTCCACCCACAATAGTTTCACAAAATCCTGTGGGAAACACCGTTACTGTTTGATCATACACCTGAGGATACGCCTACGGAAATCCCTGACTTTGTGCGCCTAGAAGAACTGACGCTTTTTTAATTGATAAATATAAATCTATTAACATGTTAATTTTGGAACAGCAATTTTCCACACCTTTCTAAAACCTTTGCATAGGACTCCGTTTCCCACCGGACAACTACACGTGATAAAAGATGGCTAGCGTAAACTAACCGTAGAGTCAAAATAAAAACTGTTTTTTGCTTCTATCAGCTCTGACACTTGTCTGTCTACCTCTCTCTCTCTCTCTCTCTCTCTGGGTATCTACCTGTGTGGTCACTCTCTGTTATCCAACTGTGTGAATCTAATGGAAACAGCCAGTGATCTCTCATTGGCAGTAGGCCATCCGGTTATATGTGTGCGCGCAGACAGGCTGGGTAACAGTGTTTCGACAGAGTGGTTTGGGTGGATGTTGAGCTTCCTGTCGGCTATCTGGCTCTGGCCGATACAGATAATCGACTGTCTGACTGCGAAGCTACAGATACCACTCAGATCAGAGCGCAAACCCTGCACAGACCGTGAGATGTGCTGCTGGAATATCTAAAATCCTACCAACCAAAATTGCATTTCACCATTCATAAATTGTTGCTGTTGTCATGTGAAGTTTACCGAAGGAGCTAAATTGAGCAGAGGGTTAATTACAGCGAGCGCAGACGGCCAAGGAGGAGTCAAAGACACAACGTGCACACAGTACATCTGAACCCTACTGTTATAATCATGACTACAGCGATTGGATAACCAGGTTTCTCCATGTGCCATGTTAACACCACATCCCTAATATAATCAAAATAAGGATAAGCTTAAAAACACAGAAAACCTGGTTATTCATATACCCGTTTATGTTCTCCTGGTATTATCCAGGGTTCTGGTCGTCTGCGTTGGTGCAGATGTGTCTTTGACTCCTTCCCTTCCTGGAAATCTGCCAATTTCAACCAAATAAACAGTTTCTAGCCGCCTTTACTGCCCTACTGGATTTATCTTCTCCTTCCAGCAGAAAGATGATGATGAATTGCCTTACCAACATCAGACTTCTATGTCATTTAGCATCACTTTATTTTGCTGCACCTGCTAACCTGGATCAGGTGTTTACATGCCACAGCATCCTGGTTTAAGAGTACTCCAGATAGCGTACCGAGGTTTCTCTTACAATAAGGGGTTGATATTTCCAAAACAAGGAAGGTGTTGGATGCGCAACCAGGGTACTGCAGAACCCTGATGATGAGCAGGGTACTGCAGAACCCTGATGATGAGCAGGGTACTGCAGAACCCTGATGATGAGCAGGGTACTGCAGAACCCTGATGATGAGCAGGGTACTGCAGAACCCTGATGATGAGCAGGGTACTGCAGAAACCTGATCCTAACGTGAAGGCATGTAAACACACTCAGTTACACATTTTGTTTTATTCTCCTTACCTATATTGATTTATTGTTTGTTTACCTTTAGAGTGTCTTCTCCTACTTGGACACTATGCCCTGCTGCTGTAACACTGTCAATTTAATAAAATGATCTATGAATTGAATTTTGACTTCTATTTTTTTGTTTTTTTTCTGATTCAGCCCATTTAATTGAAACTGACACAAATATAAACAGCAGAAATAATCGTTAACTGAAGCTGTGCTCAGATATGAAGCTGGGTTTCCACGCTGAACGGAGTGTACCGTTACCGTTACCGATGCTCTCGGCTCTGCTGTCCGCCCACACACACACACACACACACACACACGCTAACAAACACACACACACAGAAGAATCTCTGTAGAAGAGCTAACTTACCGTTAACCGCTGTCTAATCAATGAGCCTGGATGCTAATGTTAGCTCCAGACAGACAGCTTAGGCTTAGTTACTACAGGAGACGTTGGTGACACACACACACACACACACACACACACACACACACACACACACACACACACACACACACACACACACACACCTGTAACTAAATACCCCGTCGCCATTGATGATAACCTCACGAGGAGGCTTCCGTCTCACTGTTTTCACAGCTAACTCGGTTCACTTGCTAGTGACCGATAACACGACACGTAGCCTATGATAGCTCGCTTGGTCGTTAGCTCGCTAACCAGCCGTTATTACTCGGTTAGTAAGTTAGCCGTTACTCGCCGTTAGCTCCTCACCGTTAGCTCCTCACCGTTAGCTCCTCACCGTTAGCTCCTCACCGTTAGCTCCTCACCGTTAGCTCCTCACCGTTAGCCGTTTAGCTCCTGGATGTGTTCAAGTCGCCGGTTTAATCCAACTAGTTGGCCGGTCGGTGCGTGAACCGTCTAACCGTGAAGGCTCCTCTCTCTCCGGCTGGACTGGCTGTCAGCGGCACGCGGACGGTCAGGAGGCGGAGCTACGTCAACGTTTAACGGGCTGTGAGCGGGCGGCCATGACGTCAGTCACCAAAATCACAACAGGTGTCACGTTTTTATTTTTATTTATTATCTTTTACACTGATTTCATGTTTCACTTTGAGCGACTGTGACGGAACAGCCGCGTTATAAAAGTATAAAACAGGGAGTTATGGTTCAAACTTCCTGCCAGACTCCACTGTCTTTTTGTGGTTATATTATTATTATTATTATTATTTTACAGGCCATGGTCAGAGTGCAGGGGCGTAGCTACAACATCTGGGATCTCATTTATAAACGGTGCTTAAGTACAAAACAGGGCTGGAAACGTGCGGACGCCACTTCCAAAGCAAAGGTTGTGATCTAAAAAAAACTCCATGCGTACGCACATAAAGAGGAGAAATGATTAACAGCGACTCACATGGCAGAAGGATGAAACTGTTTGAAATGAACAGGCCTACTATTCTGTAAAATAAATCCAAATATTACCACTGAATATTACAGGCTTAAAGCCTTTTTGAATAAACAAACACTGGTTTGATTGACTTTCCCTGAAGTGCGCAAACCCCCTCCCATAATTTAAGATAATTTGCAGCCAAGATATCTGTTTCTGCAAAAGAACGCCTCAAATATGTTGTACAGTTTAATCAGGAATCATTAATTAATAGGCTACTTGCATGCAGTGCAATCTATTCTCATAAGTAAAGTGAACAGGAGAACAAATTACATTTAAATTGATGCCGTTTTCAATGCGTCAGTAGAGCAAATAGAGAGCATAGTTTCATGTATAGTGAGGAAAATAAGTATTTGAACACGCTGCTATTTTGCAAGTTCTCCCACTTAGAAATCATGGAGGGGTCTGAAATTGTCATCGTAGGTGCATGTCCACTGTGAGAGACAATCTAAAAAAAAAAATCCAGAAATCACAATGTATGATTTTTTAACTATTTATTTGTATGATACAGCTGCAAATAAGTATTTGAACACCTGAGAAGATCAATGTTAATATTTGGTACAGTAGCCTTTGTTTGCAATTAAAGAGGTCAAACGTTTCCTGTAGTTTTTCACCAGGTTTGCACTGTAGGAGGGATTTTGGCCCACTGCTCCACACCGATCTTCTCTAGATCAGTCAGGTTTCTGGGCTGTCGCTGAGAAACACAGAGTTTGAGCTCCCTCCAAAGATTCTCTATTGGGTTCAGGTCTGGAGACTGGCTAGGCCACGCCAGAACCTTGATATGCTTCTTACAGAGCCACTCCTTGGTTATCCTGGCTGTGTGCTTCGGGTCATTGTCACGTTGGAAGACCCGGCCTCGACCCATCTTCAATGCTCTAACTGAAGGAAGGAGGTTGTTCCCCAAAATCTGGCAATACATGGCCCCGGTCATCCTCTCCTTAATACAGTGCAGTCGCCCTGTCCCATGTGCAGAAAAACACCCCCAAAGCATGATGCTACCACCCCCATGCTTCACAGTAGGGATGGTGTTCTTGGGATGGTACTCATCATTCTTCTTCCTCCAAACATAGTTGGTGGAATTATGACCAAAGAGTTCTATTTTGGTCTCATCTGACCACATGACTTTCTCCCATGACTCCTCTGGATCATCCAAATGGTCATTGGCAAACTGAAGACGGGCCTTGACATGTGCTGGTTTAAGCAGGGGAACCTTCCGTGCCATGCGTGATTTCAAACCATGACGTCTTAGTGTATTACCAACAGTAACCTTGGAAACGGTGGTCCCAGCTCTTTTCAGGTCATTGACCAGCTCCTCCCGTGTAGTTCTGGGCTGATTTCTCACCTTTCTTAGGATCACAGAGACCCCACGAGGTGAGATCTTGCGTGGAGCCCCGGTCCGAGGGAGATTGACAGTCATGTTTAGCTTCTTCCATTTTCTAATGATTGCTCCAACAGTGGACCTTTTTTCACCAAGCTGCTTGGCAATTTCCCCGTAGCCCTTTCCAGCCTTGTGGAGGTGTACAGTTTTGTCTCTAGTGTCTTTGGACAGCTCTTTGGTCTTGGCCATGTTAGTAGTTGGATTCTTACTGATTGTATGGGGTGGACAGGTGTCTTTATGCAGCTAACGACCTCAAACAGGTGCATCAAATTTAGGATAATAAATGGAGTGGAGGTGGACATTTTGAAGGCAGACTAACAGGTCTTTGAGTCAGAATTCTAGCTGATAGACAGGTGTTCAAATACTTATTTGCAGCTGTATCATACAAATAAATAGTTAAAAAATCATACATTGTGATTTTTTTTAGATTATGTCTCTCACAGTGGACATGCACCTACGATGACAATTTCAGACCCCTCCATGATTTCTAAGTGGGAGAACTTGCAAAATAGCAGGGTGTTCAAATACTTAGTTTCCTCACTGTATATTGTTATCACGTGTTCGTTGCCTTATGGAGCCAAACGCTGTGCACCAGCGTGTGGATGTGATGCGCTGCTTGTAAAAACACATTATGGAAAATACAACACTATTTCATTAAGTAAATCTTTCAGCTTGAATCATTTACAACAACTCATATTTCGTTTAACTCATCAGCAGCCTCGTTAAGTGAGTGGACAGTTTAAGTAGCCTAAATAAATGTTTAAACACTAGTGGAGTGCATTTGGTTTAATCTCTTTTTAAAGGGGAATCCAAATTAGTGTATGTGTGTCGCCCTCCAGCCTCCGACATCACTATTCAGGAGGGACGCCCCTTCCTGCAGGTTGGTTATAAAGGGGTGGAGCTCCAGTGGCCACTTTCCTCCAGTGTGCAAGCGTTGCACCAAAGTGCGTTTTTTACCCACCAAAAAGCTTCAACTTCACCAAAAGTAACGTCAGTGTCACACTGAGTTAAATTTAACTTTGTCGCTTTTCTGTCAGAATTTGCCTCCTTTTCTTCCTGCAGTCAGGACGTATTAATATTAATGAGGGGCGGGAGACAGCCTGTGATTCTTACTGAGTGGGGCGGACCAGAGACGGGAGATCAGGGAGCGACTGGCCCGCTGAGTACAGTCGGTGATCGTCTAGCAGGATGAAGTCTGACGCTGCGCATGATCCATGATGACAAAGAAATATAGAAATTAATGTCAATAAAGCAGCTGTCAATATTTTAGAGAGCCCCGAAATATCACAAATCATGCTTTTAGGGGAGCTGATGCCTTATTAACGTGGTTTGCACCCTGAAGCCAGTGCTGAAGAGCCTTAAACTCGCATCCTTTCTAGCAGCCAGCAGGGGGCGACTCCACCGGCTGCAGAAAGAAGTGTGATTGTATAGAAGTCTATGAGAAAATGTTTCTACTTGTCAGCTGATTTATTCCCTCAGTAAACACTTTCCTGATGAGTTTCTGGTCTCAGTCGCTAGTTTCAAGTCTTCTTCAACACAGCATGATGTTCATTTAGTAAATTATGGTCCCATTTAGAGGAACAGAGACCAGGAAGCAGGGGAGGCTTTAGGGCGGGGCTACAAGCTGATTGACAAGCAGCTAACAGTAAATAACTTTGTACCTCACTTCCACTTTCGGCTCATGGGACCTTATTTCGGAAGAAATATGTACGGTAGTCAATGGCGAGAGACTTATCTTTTTATCCCGTCAGAATTGAGTCTTGAACTACACATATGATGTTGGTCAATTTAAAATATAATTTTGCAAGTCAAGAAAGTCGCAGTTTGTCGTAAAACAGTAAAGTTACATGTCGTTTTGTGTGAAAACTGTTCAGCGAACTACATCTCTCGTCTCGCGCAACATACGTCGGCTAGCTAACGTTCATTGCTTGGTTGCTACCAGCTGGATTACTTAGCTGTGTTCCACGCAGAAATATATCTCACCTGATGTGTTTAATCCAACGACTCTCAGTCCTTTTATCACATCATCCTCTCATGTAAGTTTTTTGACGTTAGCTTCAGAAACGTTAGCTTCAGTCATTGAGAGAGACAGTTACAATATCACATATGTGACTTTTGCGACTTTCTTGACTTTAAAATGTATCTTTTAAATTGACAAACGTGTATAATTCAGGGCACAATTCAAAAGGGATCAAAGTATCAGTTGTCCCTCGCCATTGACTACCGTACAAAAATTTTTCCCGGTCTGATAGTGGTCCACCGGAAGGGGAGGGACTAAGGCTCTCTATAGCGAGAGAACAGCTGCATCAAAAGTAGCAAAGAAAACTCAAGAAAATGAAGAAAAAGAAGCAACTCCTATCTGCTGTTCTGTGTACATTTAACCAACGCTGTTGAAAAAGTTTTTTAGGAGTCGGCTGTTCTTTTGTTCCGGTAAACTAGATTTTGTTTTAAGCCTGTTTTAAGCTAGCTAAAATTTGCATCCCGGTTAAAACCAAAGTAAACCTAAATGACAGATGCAACTTGCTAACTGAGCTAGCTAGCTCCACTCTCTTGTCTAAACGTGGACACTCGAGGCTCGATAACGGCAGTCTACAAACCAACTGGATTATATACAACAGTGGCATAAATGGAAAGTTTCAAACAGATTGATGCAAACATGGTGGAAGAAATCCTAAGATCTTTTACTTAAGTAAAGGTAGCAATACCACAGTGTAGAAATACTCTGTACATAACATGTACATAACTACGTAATACAGTAAAAGTGCTGCGTGCAAAATCAGTAAAGTTCTCATTATGCAGAATAATGTATATTATATTACCGGACTGTATAATGTTGCAGCTGTTAAAGGTCAAGCTAGTTTTAATTACATTATATACTGCTGGGTAGCATATGAAAATTTCCTTGTTACCATTTAGCTGAAAACACTGTATGAGTGTTTGAGTGCAGGCTCTGTTAGCTTTATTAATATATCCTGTCATGAAGTGAAGCATTTAACAAGTACATATTTACATGTTGGTGGCCCTAGATGGAAAGTTAAGGGGGTCCTTATAACTTGAGGATAGGAATGTCTGTATCAAAGTTCATGTTAATGCCTTTTAATGTTAATTGAGATATTTCACACTGGTGGACTGACCAACACTTTCATTCAGCGCTTACATAAAAGAATTGGAAAATCCATTTTCAGGCTTTTGTTCAATGGACTGTACTGCGGGGGGGGGAGGGTTACTGTACATTCGTGGCATAAGGGTGGATCCTGGTGGTCTGAACAAACAGTGAGACCATCTGGCTTACTGCGTATAACACAAATACAGTATAGAAACATACAACTAGACATGAACACATCCATGAAAGGAAAAGCTTGTACCTTCTAAACAGCCTTGTGTTTGGGTCGACGGCGTGTGAGGCTCTGATTCATCATTCAGGTGAAGCAGAAAACACAAGCGTCACCAAATATCAGTGACATGCAAACACACAGCATCACCAAAACTGTTAACATCATGCAGCACTGTGCCCAACCTCCTCGTCCATCTACAGCTGCTCACTGTAGCTCTTAAAACAAACAGGAGTAAATATTTGTTAAGGAATATTTTCAGTGAAAATTAAACCAGACCCGTCTTTAATATAATCTTTGAAATTATTTAGCAAATTAAAGGAAATTTAACAGTCGAACTGCTTTAATGTTTCCACGATCAGTTATGAATATTCATGATCATCTGTGAACACGTGCAGGGCTTCCCGGCCTGCTGTCATATCAGTCTGGTTAATACGGAAATTAATATTCATAATGTTTAATGAAGCAGATACACGAAGCTCGAGTCTAACAAAGAATCTTTAACTTCATTTAACAAACCTACCACACGCCACGTTGTCGTTAATATACCATGACATGAAAAGGGGTTTACATTTTACAATTACACAAATATTAAGTGTTTTAAGTCTAATTCTGATATATATTTTAAACTACAATTGATTTTACAGTCATCCAAGTGTTGGACTCTCCACCAGTATCACAAAACCTGACAGCAGAACATAGCGAGAGAACATTAAACAAAAATATAAAACAAAAAAATATAGGGTTCAAACCTTTTTGCTCCATCTTGATTTCAAAAAAGTTTTACACACGAAGTTCAGCATTGTTATGAAATACATCCGGTTAGTTTTGTAATGATGGAACAAACATTTTCAGATTTGTAGCCTGATTTTTCCCTGGGAATTTCTTTGTATTTGTAGCGCCCCCTAGTGGCCAACGTAACTGAAACATGAGATTTGTAATGAGTGGAGAATTTTTATCCGATTTATGCGATCTTACGCACATTTGTTGCATTTGTAGGGCCCCCTAGTGGTCGATTTCAATGAAACGTTCAGGGCATGTCCAGGGCACTTACGTGGACATATCTCGTAAGAAGTGTGATGATTGGCCCAACGGTTGTTGACTTGTGTCAATTTATGTCCTGAGCCACACCCCTTTTGAGGTTCATGTGTCAATATCCTGAAAAGGAAACGAGACATCAACAAGATTTTTGCAACTTTTGACAAACTTGGTCCAACAATGATCCACTGAAAATTTGAAGGCAGGTGGAGCTACGGTCTAGGAGGAAATGTCAAAAATGTGTCAAAAAATTGAAAATGGTGGAAAAATGTTGGAGGCGGACCTTAATAGTCCTTGAGGCTTTTTTGTAGAGCACATTGAGCTGAACCTGTGTAAGAAATTTTAACTTACGGTGTGAAGGGTGTGGCATTTTGAAAATCGATTTTTTTTATCCCTTAATTGCAGCGCCACCATGTTGCCCGACGGGGCTCATATTTATGTGGAAGCACCTGCACATCATCTCCAGCCATTTCTCCAAGTTTAGTAGCTCATTCCAGCTCACGGTAATTTGAGCCGGTGCGGCAGACAACAAATAAATAATAATAATAATAATAATAATAAAAATAAACCACCACAAACACAACAGGTGTTAATAATAATAATAAAAGACAAATGTCACATTGTTTTAATTTTCTTTAATATTCAGAAAATGCTACAGAGTTTGGTTGGTAGCTGATGAAAGTCAACGTTGTCTTCATGCTTTTAACGAAGATCGAATGTAAAAAAGAAACCTTTGATTTTTGACTTTGAAGCTTAAACTTTGCGTGAACTTTCAGGTTGGTCCTCGACCACTCACAAAACTACAAAAGGATCACAACACGTGTTCACACTCAGGTGGATATATTAGATGAACAGACGCCACTGTATATTGCAAATCATGAATTGTCCGAGCTGCGGAGGACCGCCTGAACGCACCATCTGGAGCTGAATTCACCTCGGCTGAACTGATAATAACGTTAAAACAAGAGAAGCAACAGAAGCTCTGTTTCTAGCAAAATAAATCTACAGCTTTATACAGTTAGTTTCTTATACAAGTGTATATAAAACATTCAATTTGACATATTTACATTTTAACATGTTTTTTGTGGCTTTTATGGAAAACAGTATTTTAGAGAATTTCTATCAATGCTTAAAAGCACCAGCAGGACACCTCCATCTGTTATTTATTATCTCTACATACATATGTTCAGAGTTCGTCAGAAGGTTCAAACGTCTTGATATTAAAACAGAAAAAATAAAACACATGAGCACTTATTACAAACCAGCTGTCTGCTAAACGTTGTATGTTACAGATCATGTTCCCAAAAAGTCAAGAATGAACTGAAATGATCATTAAAACGAAGCGTCGTGAATATGTTTCTTTGTAAAGACAGGAAAAACTGTCTAACGTGTGCGAACAAGTCCGGTTCAAATAATTTCAACCTTTCCAAACTTCATTTGGGTGACTTCTCACTGCTGGAGAGGGGCGATGATGTGTGCGATGTTTCCGCTTTAGAGCTTTCAATTCCTGCTTCAACACGTCCTCTGATGGCCCTAGACCCTCACACTGACATTTTGCTGCAAAGTCCAGAACTGTCAAAAGGAATCGCTGACACTGATGGATTTCGTGAACGTAACTCGAAAGGAGAGTCCAAAATGGAAGAGGCTGCTGTAGCTTATTAGCTGTCGAGCTTTACTGGAGCTCCTCTGTCAGTTAAAGCTGTGGCAGGCAATTTATTTAGGAAGCCTTTGTTGAAATTCTCTTTACATACCAACTGCAAAATATATAAATCAAATGCTCCGGACGCCACAAATCCGCCATCTGTGGCAGGACTGTAGTATGTGTATGAGCTGTCTCACGCTGGTTTCAACAACGCTGCCTAAGTCACATTAGCGAACATGCTAACTAGCTTGTTAACTAACAGTTGATACTAGTTTCACCACAAGTTAGCAGGCTAGTTAGCTTGGAGATTTTTCGTTCAGCTCTTCTTTAACTTTTTATTGACTAAATTGAAAGACAACAAAACGGCACAAAGGATGTAAACGGCGCAGAGCGCAGACTGACTGACTAGCGTTAGCCCGGCCGGTGTGTTAGTGGTCACCACATGTTAGAAGCACATATTTGATAAATTTTTTTCTGCTGTGACCAGACCTTAAAACCCTCTGAAAATATTTTGTTTCTCTTTTACCTAAAAAATGTAATTATTACAGTTAGTAAGCTACCAATTTCTGTACACTTACAAAATCTCTGCCGTGAGAAATAAAATCCTCCTCCTCATGTCTTCAAAAATCTGTGAGTGAGCCGGTTACATTTTGACGGTGTCACACAACAGGATGTAAAACATTGATCCAAACACGCACTGGATGACAGCAGCTCGTCAAAAACCAAATCCAAAAAAATCAATCAACAATCAAACCTGCCGTCACCATGTGGTGGAGTCCTGCTGGAGGCCGTTTTGGGAAACGTTCTGGCACATTTGTGATATTTAACAAAGAAAATCACCTGTTCAGCCACTTTATAAAAGAACGTGATCGTCCTCTTCCTGTCGCAGTGCACCTTTTCTCCACCAGAAGGGGGCGCTGTCCTGTGACTGAGCGGAAAGAAACCGCTCATTCTCTCTCTCCAGACTCCAGAGTGTCTACGACTTCGCTCCCGACCGGTCTGTCCACTCGTGTGCTAGCGCCGTCAGTCTGTCTCTTTGGCTAGCAGTGGCTTTGCAGAGTCAAAAGGTCAGATGTCAAGAGTTTAAGGAGTGAAAAGAGTCAGCGCCAGACTGACAGGCGTCTCACAGTGCACAGGTCGCGCAGGAGCCGCTTGATTCGCTGTTTGAGCTGCGGGAGGCGGGACAAAGGGTCGGGAGGCTCAAGCTCGCCCGAGTGGTCCAAAAAGGACTCTAACACTGGAGGGGGAGAGAGAGAGAGAGAGAGAGGGGTGGGATTAGTTTTGTTTCTATTTAAAATCTGTTTACAAGACTGCAGGCGGAGGAGTCGTCACAGGAAATGGCTGCAGGCGAACCCTCCAATCACGGAGGACTGGAGTGAAACTATTCATTAAAACATCAGTAATATCTCCTCAACCATTCGGCCTAGATGCATAATTCTCGTCTCCTTTGAAAGGTCAGAAGCAGAGGAATATAAATCAACTGTAAATGAACCCATTTATCTTGCACACTAAATGGAGATGCAATAAAGGAAATATGATATTTTCATCCTCGCCTGGTATAAAATCCACATTATAAAACTCTAACAGTAAATTTGATTAAAAGAAACTAATACACAAAATTTATGTAGCTCCTACAGGTCCGCCAGTAAATGATGATTAAGACCGTCCGTCGCAAAGCACCACTTCTTCTCTCCTTCATTTTGGCGAGATAAATGATTATTGGTGCGTTTGTTGTTATTACTATCCGGCTAATAACTCTGTGAGTTTTGTATTTGAGTGATATGACACAGATGTTACACAGCTGATCAGAGCTGGAGCTGAGCTTTCTTTAGAGTGTTCAGCGTAGGATGAGAGATATCTGGAAGGCAATAACTGCAGCCATGTACAGTGATTACAGAGCTATTTATGTTGTAATCTAAGTTCATTTAGATGCTTGTTGTGTTTGGTGTGGATAAAAATGTTTGGTTGGAGCTTCTAGCTTCACGTAGGTGTCTGGCATGCATAAGGTGATAAAATACTAGGATCGTCCATGGATTTCCCATTTGCATTTTGCGTCTGTGCTCAGCTTAAATCAACTGAAGGAAGAAACTGACCTTTAAGACGACCACATGAACAATATGTAAAATCCTTAATCCTGCAGTGTTTCCCATTAATTACAGAGACTTTGGCGGCTCGCCACAGTCTAATTTATTCCGCCATAGTGTCAAAATGAACCGAAAATATTTCAACTCTTAAAAACATTAAAGACTACTACCGTTGTGTTTTTCCCGCTGCTGTAAGCTCGCACGCTCACACACTTTGATTGTCTCGAGTCGGACGCCACTTTTCTTTTGAGGACAACAACATGGTTTGAGGTCAGTACGGTGACGTCAACTAAGGGTTTTAGCAGCTTTTTGAGTGGTCACGGTCAAGCAATGGGCTAGCCGAACCTAAATCTTGAGTGCACGCGTATTGAAGCCTTTACGGTAAATGCACTGAATGTCATTTTCAAGTGTTGCAGTATGTCAGACCTGAAGAGAGGCTGTGAAGTCTTCATTCTACATGATGCGAGCTCCACATATAATATAATATATCAAATTGCTTCGGACTTGGTGAATTTAGCAACAGGACACTCGTGACGTCGTCGGGTTTTCAAATTAAGGCGTTAACCCCTTAACGCTGATTCGCATCACATTGCTTCCATTCAGACTGCAGCCGAGACAGCGTATGTATTCCACCAATGTGTGTTTGTGCATCCACTCGATACGTTCCTGGGAACCTTTTGCAAGCGCTGGTTTATGCCTGTTGCTAATTTGCATCATACCTAAATATATTCTATGTGCTACAGACCAACTAATAATCCCCATTTAATTAAGCATCAGCTTGAAAGCAAAAACACAATAAATACGCAACAAATAAAGCATTTTGCATGTGTCCATTTAAAGTATTAAGAAAACACTAAAATGTTGGGAAATTACTTTATTCTTTGATTCTGCGTTGCTGGAAAAACCTTAAATGTATTTGTTGACTTTTTTCTGTGGCATCATCATTTATAGCTACACAATGTGTTTATGATCAAATTGTTTACAAGAGCACAAAGTTCTTCATAGATCTAATTTAGCCTAATCTAATCTATCTCTGAAAGTGCACCGGATTTATGTATTTAACTTTAAAATTAATAAAACTTTTGCCCCTGGACAGTCTAAAAAAGTCCTGTGTGGAATCACTGGTGCTGTAAAGATTTTTAGCTTTATCTGATCTTTTTAAAAACCATTTTAAATCACGTTCTGTGCTCTCGCGACAACACAGAGCTAAAAGACCGGCGAATATATCCAGCCGCATCAGGTGGACTCCGATGAGATGATCGTGTTGCGTCTGCTGGATGTTTGCTAATACATTCATCCATTTTATTACAGACCAGACTTTTTCCTCCACTGGTTATAACGACGTGCCACGACAGCCACAGTCTGGCTGATCCCCAGTCCACTTAATCAGGCCAGCATCAGCATCAATACCAATCCAGCAGATCGAACGCTGCATCCCTAAACTCTGCTGCAAGGTGACAATATGTCAATATTGTGTTTCACAGCCCACAAGTCCCTGGAGTGTGTATTGTTTTTAGACATGTTTGCTAGTGTAAATAAATAGCATGTGTGTGTGTGTGTGTTACCATCCAGCTCTCGCTCTATCACGTCCATCCTGGCACTGATCTGATGGTGAACAGACTCGACATGCTCCAGCAGGTTCAGCTGACACTCGGCCACAGACGCTGGACGAGGCTCCGGCGTGTGCGTCTGAGCGTGCGTGTGGTCGCAGCTGTGCTGTGTGTGGTTCTCTCTTTTAATGCCGGGCGTGTCTGTGGAGGCATCAGCTGGATTCTTGTCGAAGTCTTCAGGCTTTATCTCCTACCAAAAAACAAAACAAAAAAGAATCAGAAATCCTGCTTTATCGTTCACAGGCGGCCACTACAGAACAATGATCAGCTCATAAACTCATACATCTACCTGGGAAAGGAAGATTTCTGAGTGCAGCTGATAAGTGACGGATTAGAGGGAATAAAAATTGAAGCGTAAACAAATGCAGAGAAAGGAAAGAAAGAAAGCGGCAAAATTCCAGTTTTGTGTTTTTACAAGAAGCTCTCTCCACAGACCTCACGCTCACTGAGCATCAGCAGGTAAAAATAGTTCCACATTTACGAGAATGAGCCTCAAAGTGTTTCTGGGTGGTCTCATAGCAACAGCAGGAGCCAGCTTGGTCTCTGTGTCTCTGAGCCGAGCTTTGTTTCTTCTTTTGTACACTGACTGACTTCATGCATCCTTTCTGTCACAGGTGGTTAAAATAAACTGCCAAGTCCCCTTTTCCTCATTTAGAGGAGGAGTATGTGATTAATGCGGAAACATTAAGTGAAGAAGAAGAAGAAGAACATCATCATGTGACCCAAACCTGTCAACGTTGATGAGATTTGAAAATTTAAATTTTTTTTATTCAGTGTATCCTCGTGCAAGAAGTTAGGGATGTCACGATACCAGAAATGTAGTAGTCGATACAGATCCCAGCAACATTCCTCGATGCGTTACCGATTTATAACCACGGGAAAAAATAAAAAAACAAAACAATAAACAGTGGACATTAAAAAAAACAGCTGTGAAAGTTGCGAGAGGATGTCCAGGACAGACGAGAGGCGGTTTGATATCAATATATTCATAAACCAGAACCAGACACCGACCTAAAGCCTCCCCTGCTTCCTGGTCTCTGTTCCTCTAAATGGGACCATAATTTACTAAATGAACATCATGCTGTGTTGAAGAAGACTTGAAACTAGCGACTGAGACCATAAACTCATCAGGAAAGTGTTTACTGAGGGAATAAATCAGCTGACAAGTAGCCTCACTTTCTCAGAGACTTCTATACAATCACACTTCTTTCTGCAGCCGGTGGAGTCGCCCCCTGCTGGCTGCTGGAGAGAACGCGGGTTTAAAGCTCTTCAGCATTGGCTTCACTAAGCGGCTCAGAACACGCTCAAGCAGGCGACCCGGTGGGCTTTAAGATGTTTTATTCATCCCCAGAACTTCTATAAAAACTTCTAATTGAGACCTGTGTTTATTTTTAAAAACGTGTAGCCACACCAGGCCAGTAAAAGGGACAAGCGTCTAATTCTGACTCTGCTTTTAATCTAAGCTTTACGGTATATTTGGAAACGTCTTCTTTATTCAAACTGAGCTCTTGATACCAAACCTTGTGAGTTACTTGACACTGGCCTTGTAATTATTCCTGGCATCAAAATGTAAAAGAGGGATGATGATGACAGAAACTTAATCTGGTTATAAAAGTGTGTAAAGATTTTATCTTGAGCGATCGGATCCACTTCCTGTTTTTACCTTCTGCTCCTGCTTCACTGCAGCCGTCTGCCTCTCCATTTCTCTCTGCTCTGCTTTTTCCCACGATGCTCCGGGCTTCTGGTAGCAGTGCTCGCTGCTGACGTAACAGAGCGGCGTCTCCCCTCTCGGGCTGCACGTCAGTCTCGACCCCTCTTCCCGTCTCCACGGCAACCTCCACAACTGCAGGTCGGGGTGGGGCGGCGAGCTGCGTGGACAGACGGACAAACTAAAAACGCGTCTCTGCGGACTGAAACAGGTGAACAGAGTCTCTGATGTCGGCGTACTCACTGCAACAGGCTGATTTTGAGCTGCAGCGCGCTGAGGACCTGATGGAGGCCGTGTGTGTGCGCCAGCAGGCGGCCCGTGTGTGAGATCTTGGAGGCGTTGATCTCTGAGTAGTTCTCCTTCAGGCACGACAGGCCAAACATGTGACCGGATATCAGCCAATCAGGTTCTGACAGGAAACGCTGAGCTCGTCTCCAACCTGAACAGAGACGACACACAGAAAACAGCAGATTGTCACAATCATCCAAACATGTGCTGTTATCACTGTACAACTATTCTCTCAATCAATATGAGCTCAACTGGTCAATCTATCTGCAGGAAAATATTTACTATTTATTTACTAAATATTATCTATTCAGTGATTTAGAAATGTCGGTTAATTAAACATCTGACCCGTTTTAAACACGGGGCGTGTACATTTCACAACAAACGAAACTAGAGGAAAACGTGAGATAATGGCGTCAGCTGAACCGTTTTGTCCGTCCTGTGTTTCAGCAGCAGAGCGTTTAGCCCCACGTTGTTGACATGTTGTTAATTTGCTCCTCTCCCCCCAGCCGGTCGAGGCAGATGGCCGCCCACCCTGAGCCTTGGTTCTGCTCGAGGTTTCTGCCTCTTACCCTGGACTCACACAGGCGGCGTGTGCGCCACATTACCGCTGCCCCACGGTTGCGCCTGCCCCATGTTGTTGACTTGCTGTTTATTTGTCATTTTGTGTGTTTCTACAGCCGATCACAGCTCTCTGCGAACCATTTTCCCCCCATTTGCCTGCAGGGTTGAATTTCCCACATGGAGCCTTTCAGAATAAGAACGTTTTGCCTGCCTGATTTTGCTGAATTGTTTAGATTTAGATGATTTGGTAAGTTGTCCATTTTTGTGTTTCTACCCTGGTTAAGAAGGCGACATAGTTTTAAATTTGTTTCTTCTTTGATCCGTTTTAACTGTTTATTGTTGATATACGATAGGGGGTCTGCACAGGGTGCTTTATTTTGAAAAACGGGCCACATCACAATTCTGACGGTGCCTTGTGTTGTAATGCTCCATGACATGTTCTATCTATTTATCCACAGTCAGGTCTCAACGTTAAACTTTTATGCAACAGTGGGTTTGAAACTTACTGGCCCTCCCTCTAAAAATTATTTATCAGTGTTACAACAAAACCAAAGACTTATAACTTATGTTATACTGTTAACATGTTTAATTGTTTATTAAATACATCCCGGATATAAAGAAACTAAACTAAAATGTAATCAGTTAAAATAAAAAAAAATAAAAAGTTTAATGAAACAATTTACTTTTAAAACAAAACAGACTAACAGACTCAAACATGACCGCGGATACAAGGTCGCCATGGTAGCGACCTGCCAATCATGAGGTAATCCCGCCCAAAAGCATACGCTGCATTATCGTCTATGTTCCTCTAAATAGGACCGTAATTTGCTAAATGAACATCATGCTGTGTTGAAGAAGACTTGAAACTAGCGACTGAGACTCATTTAAAAGTGTTTACTGAGGGAATAAATCAGCTGAGAAGTAGAAACTTTTTATTTCTAATGGAGCCAGACTTCTTTTTGCAACCAGCGGACTCGCCCCCTGCTGGCCGTTAGAGAGAACGCAGGTTTCACTTTCAGACCCAGAGGTTGCCGCTTGATTGAGATTAGAGAAGTAAAATTTGACAACCGCTCGTCACGTAACTACAACTCTGGATTGGACAGCGGTGCAAAGCAACTGCAGGATGTTGAGTTTCTAAGTTATTTACTTTTAATACCAATGTTTTTGCAGTGAGGGGCTAGTTCGACTGTCCCGACGTTAATAACGTTATCGTTATTGTCGAGCCCTGACAGTAAATAATGAACTTTAAAACTAAACTAAACTTTTTAAATAGCAAATCAAATCTTAATCGCAGTATGTGGCAGAAAAATCTAATCAGATTGTTTCCACCCCAAATTGTTCAACCTTAATTATTACAAATGTTTTAAAGGGTAATAGGGTAGGGTTTCAATGTGGACCTTATTGTCCCATGTTTTTCTGTCTATATGCAACATTTTTTTAAAAAGTGGTTGTGAGCACCCTGCAGTCAGCAGCAGGTAAACAGGGTGCATCATAACTCTTACAGACCACTGCACCCCTTCAGGCTCAGATTGTTATTACAGGTGTCAACAACATTAAAGAAAGGATCCCTACAGAGAGAGACATTTTTTTTTAAAGAGTAAAATCCTTTTTTGTTTAACCAGAAACCATCGCCATCCCGCTCTTGTCAAAGCCTCCAGACTCCATTGACACAAATAGCTATTTCACTTCTCTGGTCTACCGCTGCCACGATCGGTTAGTGTCTTATGTGTGAAGTCACACAAATACCCAAACAAATCAACCGACCGAGGCAAAGCGGTAGACCAGCAACTCCTTTGTTCTACACACAGGAAGAGATCCTACCTGCAGTGTGTCTGCAGTAGTAGCAGATGTAGTTGTGTGGGACGTTGTCTTCATATAAACCCATGCAGGTGCCATGCTGCCAACACAGACACGACTCGCACTACAGGGAAACACAGACAGACAGAAAAGATTGAAATTAAAAGGAGGAATGACTACAGCGACCAATAACTGGTCCAATGTGCATTTGGACATGTGAGCATTGTTTTTAAAACAGACCCCGTCCTTTAATGACGGAAGGCGAATGGAAAAGCTGCAGCTATAAAACATTTCTATCGGCTCCTGTGTAAGAGTTCAGTGTGTGTTCGTGCGTCGTACCTGGATCATGAAGTCGTTCTCCTCGTCCACCTCGCACACACACCTCACCACCTCGCACTCCTCCGTGTCCATAGCAAGAGGCCAGGAGGGCGTGTCCTCTCCACTCTCTGCCGTCAGCGTCGACCAGTCGCTGCCGTCGTCGGCTGAAAGAGAGACGAGCTGACGCTGATCTGCATTTTCACGTAAGTAAGAATAGCTGCGACGCATCTGTGAAGCGTGTGTGTTCCCACCTTGTGCGTGTGTGATGTCACGTTCAGCGGACTGGTGAGTGATCAGAGGTTTGTCGGAGTTCTCATCATCGCTGCTGCCAAGCCCTGACGAGAAGAGCACGTGGTCGTTATTCTTATAATCATACTGATAATACAGAAAGAAGCAGCTGCAGGAGACGCATGAGGTGAAAGATAGTCAAGAAGTTAGTCGGTCCCTCCAGGATTTTGTGGGGCCTTTTTAGTGATAGTTGAGGCGCCGTTTCAATAAAATTGCGATGTAAGCTGCAATTGTCTTGTACCTATCTTTTGTGATGAAATTGTGGAAATAAGTGAAAACTGCTACAGGTAGATGTGATTGTTTTAATTTTACATTTATTTTAAATAATAACAATTGACACTTGTTTAAAAGAGACATAAAATTCTGCTTTTCCAGTCCTATACTGTAGTTCTGTGACTCCTGTATGGCAGCTTTGCGAGATTCAAAGTTCAAAAAAATTATTTTCTGTCTTATGTTGGCTCTTCATGTTGGCCTTCATTTCAGCCTCTGTCTGAAACAAGGTGCGGATGCTCCTGTCTCTTTAAGGCCCACTCTCTTCTGATTGGCCAAGACCTGAAGCATGTTACCAGGCTGTTGTTGTTGCTGGGCGGAACAGGCAGACTGATCGTTGCTGTGGGAGCAAATGACCATATATGGTATAACAGCGTCTGGCTCGTGTATTGGTACAAAAAGCAGTTCAGAAAAGGGGGAAATCTGAGGTTTACGCTCACAGGAATTTCTATAAAATACTTTAACCTCATTATTTGAAGCTTTGGTCATGTTTAACATCCAACATTGTAGATAAAATGTGAAATAGGTCTCCTTTTTAAACACTAGACTTTTTAATTCCTAAACTACGTTAAATCTCACACACACAGTTCAGTGTCACAGTAGGCTGAACCTGTCACTAGGGCTGGGCAATAAAACAATAATGATAATTATCACGATATAATTTTCCTCAATATCAATATAATAAATGTTCAATATATCGTCGATAAATATTTGGTTACTTAATTTTTTTATTAAACTATTTAAACTATTAAAAAAAGTTTTACTAATCATATTTGTTAAATTTTTTTTATCATAATAGTTTTGAATGTGATTCACTGTTTGGCATCAAGTGTTTGTCCCATTATGACCATAAAGAAAGATTAACCACATAATTAACCATCTTCAATCTTCAGTCAAGAGCAAAAATCAGCCTTTAAAGAAATAATGATTTGACATTTATCGTGATAATTATCGATATCGAATGATATGAAATGTTTTTATCGTGATAACATTTTTGGCCATAATGCCCAGCCCCACCTGTCACTCTGTGATAAACTACATTAGTTCCCTTTAACTGCATTTTTAAACCAGTTTAACTTGATTCTTTCTTGAAGCTGACCGGGATGCAGCAGCCTGTGTCTCAGTGATTCGTCTCGTCTGACGTCCTCCATGTGTTTCTGCCAATCTACGCTTATGTTTTGTGACGGCAAAGTATTTGTCAGTATTCACAGTACTTCGCTGTTATTTTTGCTGGTAAATGTGAGAAGTTGGTGTCACACATGTCTGCTGCGTCTTGTAAACAAGAAAGTGCGATTGCTGAAGTTTGACAACGTTTTGCAGGAAACGGCTTTGGTAGGTCAGAGTTGCAAGTCGCGCTGAATTCACAGGGATTTGTTGAATTTGTGTTAACAGCTACGAACACGACATCGTGAAATCCTGGAGGGGCTGGTTAGTTATAGAGGCCGTGAAGGCAATTTGCTCATTTAGTCAAACCAACATTTCCAATAAAACTCAAGAGTTGTTTTGCTGATATTTTTTTACAGACTGAAAACACATTTATGATGAGTGTGGTAACAGACGCAGCATGCAGCCTGATCTTTATCTGATTTCTGTATTTCCTGTCTTTAATAATGAGGTTTGGGGGATTTTAAGAGGCTTTGGACTTGTGTAATTGTCCACTTCTGGGTCTGAATCCTTGTGGAGGTCACTTATCTGCCGGGACTGCACACTGACTCTCACCTGACTGACTTTTCTTCTTCTTCTTCTTCTTTTTCTTCTTCTTTAGTTTGACTCTCAGGAAGTTGTTCCTCTCCTTTCTGTCCTGTCCTCCCGCTTTCTCCCCCCCTCCTTCCTTCTTCACGTCTGCTCACGGACAGGTAAGAAAAACAGTGAGGTTTCTGGCTGAACTCCAACTAAATCTTTATTCTTCTTTTAAAATATCTGAAGATTAACCACATTTTAAAAGTTTAAACCCTGCATTAAAACAGAGATTAATGCTGTGATTAAAACAAACAGCGATCGAGTCTGTGTGTATGCTGGGGATGTCACCGGAAATTTAGTAGTCGATACCAACACCAGTGAAATCGATACCCGATTCGACACCACGGCAAAAAACAAAACAATAAAGCTCATGTACTTCAACATAAACTCCTTTAATAAAAAACATTTGAACATAAAATAAAAATGATTAATTAACGACAAAAAAAGGGAGGGAGAGCGAAAGGTGGCTCCACTCTCTGCTTGCCTTACTGTCCACGAAGGTAACTTCACAAACTCTCGTGAGATTATTCCCCAGCGGTTAAAGGTAAAAGGTGATAACAGTCTATTCCCCACATACTACCAATGTAATATAAATACACTCTAAATTATCCACACACATTTTAGACAATCCTACAATTAACTCTTTGCATTACTGTAAATATTAACTGCATTAATCTGTAAATACTGTAAATATTCATAAACATAACGTGATGACGTGGCAGATTGTGATTGGCTGTACGTCGGAGTGCTTACAGATATAGTTTAAACGTGTCCTCGGATCGACTATGGAGGCCCCAGAGCCGTTAAATAATCTTATTTAACGGCTCTGGGAGAACTTATATAATGAAATACAGCTCTACTTATTAAACGGGACTTAACACAGCCTCACATTAGCTGTGTATTAATGTTACGATGCTAATGTTAGCTGCCGATCAACTTAAGCTAACGGTAGCTAACTTAAGCTACTCGGACAAACTACATAGTGCCCCGGTTATAAATGTTAGGTATCAGATCTGCTCGGGGTCTTTATTAAATTTTTTTTCTTTTATTTCACATTTACTTTGGCAATATGGAAATAACGTACACACACGCGTTAGCTAACGTAAGTGGATCGGTAGCTAACATTAGCATCGTAACACTAATTCACCGAAAACTAGTATCCGTAAACACTACGACATACAGCCAATCGCGATCTGCCAACCCGAGCACATCTTGTACCTACCACCGGTGTTGCGGGGAAGAAATTTGCATTCAAAATAAGCAAACGTGGAGTGATGTTTACTCAGAACTGGATAATACTAAACAGTTCAATTTCAATTCAGTTCTATTTTATTTATATAGCGTCAAATCACAACAACAGTCATCTCTGAGCGCTTTTCATGAAACAGAAACCCAACAGTTCCCACCGAGAGCAGCACTAGGTGACAGAGGCAAGGAAAAACGAACCACACAACGTGATGTGTGTGTCGGTCAGGTAACACACAGTTTACTTTCTAGTTCGCCAAGACGTGCTGTTGTAGCAGGAGAGCTGTGAGTGTTTGGAGCTGCTGTGCTCCAGAATCGCATAACCCACCTTTATGATGCAGAGAAATATCCAACGTTACTGTTGGAAATTCCAATAGTTGTGTATGTTCGAGTTTTCGTTGAATTTACAAAAAAATATTCTATATCGGGACATTGATTTTTTGTCATATACGGCAATGTAGAAATACCGACATATTTTCAGAATGTTGGCATCGACTTGGCGCCGAAGTATCTGTTCTCGTGACATCCCTAGTGAACGCACAAGCATAGCCGTCCTACCTGTTCCTGCGGCGCTGCGCTCTCTGTCGTCACGATGACAGGTGCTGTTCTGGTCCTCGTTCTTCCTGTCTGACATGAAGTCGCTCCCCTTAGAAGATGACCGCTTCCTCCTACGACAACCACAGTCAGTGTTAAACACCACTTTCCCTTTTGCAAACTTCCTGTAAAGCTCCTGTTCTAGGAATTTGAGCCGTCGACCAACCTCGGGGCCTCCTGCTCGCCGCCTCGCTCGTCCAGCTGCTGGTCGGAGTGGTAGTACTTGATGTGGTAGTGAAGAAGACTCGCCTTCCTGAACGACTTGGTGCAGCCCGCTGCAGGACACTTGAAGGGGTTGTGGTCCAACTCAATGGAGAGAATGGGAGGCGGCTGGTTCTTTATCACCCGGTACACTGAGAGAGGACAGCAGGGAGGGAGGTACAGGACTGGATATTAAACCTCACCCCTTTTTGGTGCAGACCAAAATGCAAAAATGGCATCATATGTCTGATCAGATGGTTACAACATTTTGCCAATTTTAGATTCTATATAAATTCTCGTGCATCTGCAAAATAAAAAAAAAGAACTTTGGCTTCTTTAGTTAAATGTTGTAAGAAAACTGCTCTATATGATACTCAAAGTAGGGCTTCATAGAAATACTTGTTTTGGATCCACCAGCAAAACTCAGGTCCTGTATCAGCTCTAGAATTTAAATATTTCAAATGACACCCAGCTGTAGTATGCAGAGAGTGTGTCTTTTAAAGCTGAATAAATTACAAGGGACGGACAGGGTTGGGTAACAAATTTCCAAGAACTATATTTTTATAAGACCCGTGCGTTTGGATCCTGCTCCTCGGTTCCTAACTTCCTGCATATTTCAGCTCCTGACTGAACTGCAGTGAGCTTTTTTCAGTCCATCAAAGTGTCTCTTATCCGCCAGGAGCTGCTACGCCGACCACGCATCTGTCCCTTATTGTCCTACAGTACTTGAGCCTCAGTTAAAAGTGTAGTAGTGTGTATTTGTGTTTTATATAGTTTGTGTGATGTGCGAGTGCTCTTACATGGTTCTCTGCTGAACTTGTGTGTGGTGGGCAGGTGGGCCTGACGCTCCAACAGGACGTCTGAGAGAAGGACAAAGATTGAGGTGAAACAACACAGAAAGCATGTCGTCAGGACAGGAGCACATTAGCAACTTAAAAAGCACACATCAGCTTTTTAATACTGTATTGGCCCAAATCTAGGACTAGTTTCTGTTTTTCCTCTCTCAGAAACTACACTCAAAAATACACTCGCAGTCCAACCACAAATGTCCTTATTTCGTCTGTGAATCTGTCTCAGTTGGATGAAGATTATTCTTTTGGGTTTGTGGTCTTTGTAATTATGTATTTTCTTATACTTCAAATATTTTATGACAAACTGTGACTTTCTTGTCAAGGCTCGACAACAACGGTGGCCCGATGGCCCGGGGCCAGTAAAAAGTAACGTCTGGAAAGTCAAACTAGCCCCTCACTGGCCCGATTGGGCCACTGCAAAAACATTAGTAATTAAAAAAAAGGTTATTAGAAACTCAACATCCTTAGTGAGTGAGGTTAGTTTTTGTTTTGTTATTGTGACGGTGAGTTTTTGTTTTGTTATTGTGACGGTGAGTTTTTGTTATTGTGACGGTGAGTTTTGGTTAGTTTTTGTTATTGTGACGGTGAGTTTTTGTTATTGTGACAGTGAGTTTTTGTTATTGTGACAGTGAGTTTTTGTTATTGTGACAGTGAGTTTTTGTTATTGTGACGGTGAGTTTTTGTTATTGTGACGGTGAGTTTTTGTTATTGTGACGGTGAGTTTTTGTTTTGTTATTGTGACGGTGAGTTTTTGTTATTGTGACGGTGAGTTTTTGTGACGGTGAGTTTTTGTTATTGTGACGGTGAGTTTTTGTTATTGTGACGGTGAGTTTTTGTTTTGTTATTGTGACGGTGAGTTTTTGTTATTGTGACGGTGAGTTTTTGTTATTGTGACGGTTAGTTTTGGTTTGTTTTTGTTATTGTGACGGTGAGTTTTTGTTATTGTGACGGTGAGTTTTTGTTATTGTGACGGTGAGTTTTTGTTATTGTGACGGTGAGTTTTTGTTTTGTTATTGTGACGGTGAGTTTTTGTTATTGTGACGGTGAGTTTTGGTTATTGTGACGGTGAGTTTTTGTTTTGTTATTGTGACGGTGAGTTTTTGTTATTGTGACGGTGAGTTTTGGTTATTGTGACGGTGAGTTTTTGTTTTGTTATTGTGACAGTGAGTTTTTGTTATTGTGACAGTGAGTTTTTGTTATTGTGACAGTGAGTTTTTGTTATTGTGACAGTGAGTTTTTGTTTTGTTATTGTGACGGTGAGTTTTTGTTATTGTGACGGTGAGTTTTTGTTTTGTTATTGTGACGGTGAGTTTTGTTTTGTTATTGTGACGGTGAGTTTTTGTTATTGTGACGGTGAGTTTTTGTTATTGTGACAGTGAGTTTTTGTTTTGTTATTGTGACAGTGAGTTTTTGTTATTGTGACAGTGAGTTTTTGTTATTGTGACGGTGAGTTTTTGTTATTGTGACGGTGAGTTTTTGTTATTGTGACAGTGAGTTTTTGTTTTGTTATTGTGACGGTGAGTTTTTGTTTTGTTATTGTGACGGTGAGTTTTTGTTTTGTTATTGTGACGGTGAGTTTTTGTTATTGTGACGGTGAGTTTTTGTTATTGTGACGGTGAGTTTTTGTTATTGTGACGGTGAGTTTTTGTTTTGTTATTGTGACGGTGAGTTTTTGTTATTGTGACGGTGAGTTTTTGTTTTGTTATTGTGACAGTGAGTTTTTGTTATTGTGACGGTGAGTTTTTGTTATTGTGACAGTGAGTTTTTGTTATTGTGACGGTGAGTTTTTGTTTTGTTATTGTGACGGTGAGTTTTTGTTATTGTGACGGTGAGTTTTGGTTATTGTGACGGTGAGTTTTTGTTTTGTTATTGTGACGGTGAGTTTTTGTTATTGTGACAGTGAGTTTTTGTTATTGTGACAGTGAGTTTTTGTTGTTGTGACAGTGAGTTTTTGTTTTGTTATTGTGACGGTGAGTTTTTGTTATTGTGACGGTGAGTTTTTGTTTTGTTATTGTGACGGTGAGTTTTTGTTATTGTGACGGTGAGTTTTTGTTTTGTTATTGTGACGGTGAGTTTTTGTTTTGTTATTGTGACGGTGAGTTTTTGTTATTGTGACGGTGAGTTTTTGTTATTGTGACGGTGAGTTTTTGTTTTGTTATTGTGACAGTGAGTTTTTGTTTTGTTATTGTGACAGTGAGTTTTTGTTATTGTGACAGTGAGTTTTTGTTATTGTGACGGTGAGTTTTTGTTATTGTGACGGTGAGTTTTTGTTATTGTGACAGTGAGTTTTTGTTATTGTGACGGTGAGTTTTTGTTATTGTGACGGTGAGTTTTTGTTATTGTGACAGTGAGTTTTTGTTTTGTTATTGTGACGGTGAGTTTTTGTTTTGTTATTGTGACGGTGAGTTTTTGTTATTGTGACGGTGAGTTTTTGTTATTGTGACGGTGAGTTTTTGTTATTGTGACGGTGAGTTTTTGTTATTGTGACGGTGAGTTTTTGTTTTGTTATTGTGATGGTGAGTTTTTGTTTTGTTATTGTGACGGTGAGTTTTTGTTATTGTGACGGTGAGTTTTTGTTTTGTTATTGTGACGGTGAGTTTTTGTTATTGTGACGGTGAGTTTTTGTTATTGTGACGGTGAGTTTTTGTTTTGTTATTGTGACGGTGAGTTTTTGTTATTGTGACGGTGAGTTTTTGTTATTGTGACGGTGAGTTTTTGTTTTGTTATTGTGACAGTGAGTTTTTGTTATTGTAACAGTGAGTTTTTGTTATTGTGACGGTGAGTTTTTGTTATTGTGACGGTGAGTTTTTGTTATTGTGACGGTGAGTTTTTGTTTTGTTATTGTGACGGTGAGTTTTTGTTATTGTGACGGTTAGTTTTGGTTAGTTTTTGTTATTGTGACGGTTAGTTTTGGTTAGTTTTTGTTATTGTGACGGTGAGTTTTTGTTATTGTGACGGTGAGTTTTTGTTATTGTGACGGTGAGTTTTTGTTATTGTGACGGTGAGTTTTTGTTATTGTGACGGTGAGTTTTTGTTATTGTGACGGTGAGTTTTTGTTTTGTTATTGTGACGGTGAGTTTTTGTTATTGTGACGGTGAGTTTTGGTTAGTTTTTCTTATTGTGACGGTGAGTTTTTGTTATTGTGACGGTGAGTTTTTGTTTTGTTATTGTGACAGTGAGTTTTGTTATTGTGACAGTGAGTTTTTGTTATTGTGACAGTGAGTTTTTGTTTTGTTATTGTGACAGTGAGTTTTTGTTATTGTGACAGTGAGTTTTTGTTATTGTGACAGTGAGTTTTTGTTATTGTGACAGTGAGTTTTTGTTATTGTGACAGTGAGTTTGAGTTTTTGTTATTGTGACAGTGAGTTTTTGTTATTGTGACAGTGAGTTTTTGTTATTGTGACAGTGAGTTTTTGTTATTGTGACAGTGAGTTTTTGTTTTGTTATTGTGACGGTGAGTTTTTGTTATTGTGACGGTGAGTTTTTGTTTTGTTATTGTGACGGTGAGTTTTTGTTTTGTTATTGTGACGGTGAGTTTTTGTTATTGTGACGGTGAGTTTTTGTTTTGTTATTGTGACAGTGAGTTTTTGTTATTGTGACAGTGAGTTTTTGTTATTGTGACGGTGAGTTTTTGTTATTGTGACGGTGAGTTTTTGTTATTGTGACAGTGAGTTTTTGTTTTGTTATTGTGACGGTGAGTTTTTGTTATTGTGACGGTTAGTTTTGGTTAGTTTTTGTTATTGTGACGGTGAGTTTTTGTTATTGTGACGGTGAGTTTTTGTTATTGTGACGGTGAGTTTTTGTTTTGTTATTGTGACGGTGAGTTTTTGTTATTGTGACGGTTAGTTTTGGTTAGTTTTTGTTATTGTGACGGTGAGTTTTTGTTATTGTGACGGTGAGTTTTTGTTTTGTTATTGTGACGGTGAGTTTTTGTTATTGTGACGGTGAGTTTTTGTTATTGTGACGGTGAGTTTTTGTTTTGTTATTGTGACAGTGAGTTTTTGTTTTGTTATTGTGACAGTGAGTTTTTGTTATTGTGACAGTGAGTTTTTGTTATTGTGACGGTGAGTTTTTGTTATTGTGACGGTGAGTTTTGTTATTGTGACAGTGAGTTTTTGTTATTGTGACGGTGAGTTTTTGTTATTGTGACGGTGAGTTTTTGTTATTGTGACAGTGAGTTTTTGTTTTGTTATTGTGACGGTGAGTTTTTGTTTTGTTATTGTGACGGTGAGTTTTTGTTATTGTGACGGTGAGTTTTTGTTTTGTTATTGTGACGGTGAGTTTTTGTTATTGTGACGGTGAGTTTTTGTTATTGTGACGGTGAGTTTTTGTTTTGTTATTGTGACGGTGAGTTTTTGTTTTGTTATTGTGACGGTGAGTTTTTGTTATTGTGACGGTGAGTTTTTGTTATTGTGACGGTGAGTTTTTGTTTTGTTATTGTGACAGTGAGTTTTTGTTTTGTTATTGTGACAGTGAGTTTTTGTTATTGTGACAGTGAGTTTTTGTTATTGTGACGGTGAGTTTTTGTTATTGTGACGGTGAGTTTTTGTTATTGTGACAGTGAGTTTTTGTTATTGTGACGGTGAGTTTTTGTTATTGTGACGGTGAGTTTTTGTTATTGTGACAGTGAGTTTTTGTTTTGTTATTGTGACGGTGAGTTTTTGTTTTGTTATTGTGACGGTGAGTTTTTGTTATTGTGACGGTGAGTTTTTGTTATTGTGACGGTGAGTTTTTGTTATTGTGACGGTGAGTTTTTGTTTTGTTATTGTGACGGTGAGTTTTTGTTATTGTGACGGTGAGTTTTTGTTTTGTTATTGTGACGGTGAGTTTTTGTTTTGTTATTGTGACGGTGAGTTTTTGTTATTGTGACGGTGAGTTTTTGTTTTGTTATTGTGACGGTGAGTTTTTGTTATTGTGACGGTGAGTTTTTGTTATTGTGACGGTGAGTTTTTGTTTTGTTATTGTGACGGTGAGTTTTTGTTATTGTGACGGTGAGTTTTTGTTATTGT